CATTTACAAAACATGTGCACATGGAGGTGACATGGCCACCTCATGGCATTGTTGGGGATGCATGCATGTACTCCCCTTTAAATACAAGGCTACGCAGGACGGAAGGGGGGAGGCCAAGGCTAGATTCATACAAGTTCCTACTACTATATTCTTCATTCTTCTTCTTCTTTTAGCTTGGAGCTCCATTAATGACTCCAAGTTCCTACAATGATGTATATGTAAACTCCCCCGAGATTAATAAAAGTTCCTCCCCCTTTGGCATGGCACCGCCTAAAAAGGCCCGTGGTTTTCTCCCGATTTGGGTTTTCACGTATAAATAATTTCTCTCCGCTTTATTTATTTACTTAATTTCCGGATTTCGCTATTCGGTGCGGTGCCGACCCGGTACCGATTTCATCGGGTCGATGCCCCGAAAAAGCGGTTTCCATCAAAGACCATGTTTTTTGGGTTAGAAAAATTAATTTTCAATTTTTTCAACTCGTTTAAATTTTTAACTTTTTTCAAGTCCATTAACTCATCATTTAATTGAGTGACTTTTTTAACACTTAAATTTTTTTAACATGTTTCGTACCTTAAATTTTTTCCAACTTCGTCTAATTTCTTCTAACTTTTTCTAGCGTATTTCAACATCTAACTCTAAAATTTTAACCAAAAACCAGTGCCAAAAAAAATACTTCGTATAAAATAACAAACTAAATAATTTAATTATGGTGATGTATCACATAGTGCGTTGTCAGAAGTCAAACCTTAAGTTTTATTAACTTTTATTTTTTGAATGAACCTAAATACTCTCTCCGTCTCTCAGTGTTTGTCCACTTTCATTTTTACACACAATCCAATGCACTTCTTTAATCCATTTTATCTTGTAATTTGTATATTAAAAAATTATAGAAATTATATATTAATAATCTATATGTTAAAACAAATCAAACAAGATCACACATGACTATATTTAAGCTTACCCATTGAGAGAGTATGATGAGTCAAAGAACTTAGATGAACAGTTTCAAAAGTCAAAAGTGGACAAAAACTGGGGGACGGAGGGAGTATATCATAGGTACACTGCCCTTGTTGCAAAGGCACATAGACATTAAGCATGTGTTTGGATGGGGGGATTTTGCAAGGAAAGAAAAGTGGAGGGAGGAAAACACAAGTTTCTAGATCTTTTATCTTGTTTGTTTGCAATAGAAAATGGGGAGAGGAAAGAAAAAGAGTGGAAAAAAGCCTTAAAAAATTTTCTCTACACTTTTGAAGAGAAAACTCACACATGGAAAGAAAATGCATAAAATGACATGTTTGCCCTTTGCCTCTTTTCTAATTTACGAAGTACACCTTTTTTTTTAACTTTTTTGTTGCTTTATGATAAGGGCACTAATGTCTTTTGGCTTAGTCATGTTTTCTTTCCTCTTTTCATTTTCTCTTCTTTTTTACCTATCCAAACAACAATTATTTTCTTTTCATTTTCTCTCCCATTTCTTTCCTCTCATTTTCTTTCATTTCATTTTCTTTCCTCTCATTTTCCTTTCAAATCCAAACAAAGCCTAAGTGTCTATGATCAAACATATACGTAGGTCATATCTATTTATTTGTGACAAAGTTGTGTACAGATATGATTTAAGTGCAACCCTAACTTTTGTTAAATGAAAGAAACTAAAGGTTAGTTCAATATTATGTCAAAGCAAGTCATGACTAGCAACAACACAAAACCAATAAACGAGCACTATAAAAAACGAGTAAATTGAATTTCTGATGCACTCAAGAGGCAGAGAAATGACATGAAAGAGTAATTAAAGATGGCCGCAAAAAAAAAAAAAGAGTAATTAAAGAGTGTTTAACTAGTTACGGAGTAATTAATCATATCATCGGGAACCAACTGGTCTGGATATAAATCTGCAAATGAACCATGACAAGAAGCAGAACCACCGCCAAAGCCAACCCCCACGGGAACTCCCTCCTCTCATCCCCGCCGCGCCGGTACATCGCCGGCGGCCCGGCACCCCCGGCCGGGAAATCCCAATCAAACCACCGCCGCCACCTGCGCGCAACCGTCAAGATGTACAGCAGGAAAAGGACGAGCATGGGGACAACGAAGAAGAGAAGAAACCTGAGAGTGGTGATGGTCCGCGCCACCTTTGACTTGAAGTGGAAGTACGAGGTCAAGCAGAGGAAGAATGTCGCGAGGACGAAGAAAACCAGCAACGGGAATGGCGGCGGCGCCGGCGCCGAGATTGAATCCATTCTTCTTCCCCATAGCCAACCCATTTTGTTTCTTTGTTCTTCTCGACTTCTCGTGTCTACTGGACTCTTACCTTTATATATATACAGAGAATCTGAGAAATTAAACAATACTCTCATTCGAAAGTATTCTGACCTCTTCTTGTCTCATGCTAGAGTACCGTGTGAGCATTCACGCTTCACACGGATAAATATAGACGTTAATTGTCTGTACGACACAGACTGTGTTTCCGTGGGGTCGCTTGACCCCGTATGACTCAATGTGGGTCCGCTCGTGTTTGTATGTGCGAAGCTTGGGTGTACCAATATGTCATATGTGGTGACACTTTAGCATTATTCTTCCAAAAGACCATGACATTTGATTTTTTTTGTAACGGTTTATTCTCTCGCTCCACTTTCAAAGTTAAATGTTAATTTTGATATACCCACCGTAGCCAAATTTTTTCATAGACCTAAAGTCCATATATATGAAATACTGTTTGGTTTGAAAGTAGTATGATATGAAATTTTACTCCGTATAAAAAAGATGTCACATAATTATTTATTCTATGAAATAATAGTGTGGAATTTTCTTTTTTCTTTTTTATATTTCCTTTTTAGGGTATTGATACCCAAATTGTAAGTCAAATATTTAAAGAGTGATTCCCTTTGTTTTGTTCTGTCATATCCTATGTGGCTATCTAATTCTTAATTGTTATTAGACCCACTTCAAAAAGACGAGGAAAAACTTTTTTAGGCTAAAAAATCCAATTAGATCATACTCCGTAGTTTTTTAAACAAAGGAAATCGGTCTTTTTCTATTTGAGTTTTGTCTATATTGGCCTTATTGGATGCGTTTGCCAATGGCCTTATTTGAAAAGATAATGTTAATACTAAAAATCACTTGATTTTAACTAAAACATACTATTTCAAAATTTAAAACCTACTCATGCACCTTTTATATTTCGCCAAGTGCTAAAGCGTTATGTTGTTTATTGACTATTGTAGCATTTTGACGAGATGGAGAAGAATCGAAAAAAAGATAGCTCAACCCCGAGGGCTCTTCAAACCGACCAGACGGTCACTAGGAAATAAATTAAACTTTAACTGCGGCTTGATTGCGGGGGGCAGAAGTTGCACCTGGTACTTGCAAAGGCCTTATGTTTAGCATAGTTGCCTCCCAGTGTAGTTCTCAGAAACCAAACTCGAATCTACTCTCTTAAGACTTTCTGCTTTTGTCAACTGCGCAACGCCCACCGACAAATGGAAAAGAATAGAGGAATGGCGTGGAATTGTGAAACACCTTCCCAACTAAAAGAACACTATAACACTTTGTTTTGTTTAAAGAATTCTTTTATTTTTCCTCTCTAACCAAACAAAAAATTAACTAAATTTTATCTCATTTTGTTTTTCTTTTTATCAATTCTTTGAACCAAACACAGAGTAAGGTTTTGATGTCATCGCTTGATGTTTTTTAACATTAATAACTTTATTGTAATATGGTATGTGTTCATAGTCACCACTTGATATTAAGTTCACATGTTCAACATCAACGAAACTTTAACCTGATTAATACTCATCCAAATTTAGATCATGGTTTTTAAAGAAAATTAATATTGGTACCCTCGATTTTCTGGTAATAACTTATAGGTCTCACATTTTCTGAAATATACTTCGGGATACTCCTAATTTTCTGGTAAGAACTTTCAAGACTCACATTATCCAAAATATACTCTAGGGATCCTTAAATTTTGTGGTAATGTACTCTGAGGACACATTGCGTTTATTTAAATAAAATTCATCAATTTTCAAAGTAAAATAACTTTTAGTCTAACGCCTAAATTGAGATAATGTACCCTTTGAGTGTAATATCACAAAATTTAAGGACTGCGTCGGATAATATAAGACTTGGGAGTTATTGACAGATAATCGAAAGTACCCGCAAATATTTTTTTGTTGTTTTTATACCAAAGCCCAAATGCTCAAAAACATCTCCCGATTTAGGCCCAAATGTACTGAGAGCTTCTTCTTCCCGTTGAACACTTGAACCCTTGCCCTCATTTCGCCGGAACCCATTCTTCTTCACTCTTTTTTCTCTGCAATTCAAATTCCTCTGGATATGGAGTCCGTGGAAGACGAAGACGACCAGTGCATCGGGAAACTCCTCGATGCCAAGAAGAAATCGAGTTCCGGCAACAATGCCGCCACGAAATCTCAGCCGAAGAAAGCGGATGCTTCTCAGAACCCCTCTTCCAGACTGAGCTTGAACAAGATTTCTGGTGCTAAAGCTAAACCCAAGAAAGAAGATGAAGATGAAGATTTTCAAGATTCTAAATCCCCAAAGGTGGTTAATTTTTTTATTTTACTTTTTGCAGATTTTGATTGTATAGTCTTTTTGTTTATCCATTAAGAAAATTGGGTTTTTGGTTTAAGGCTCAGAAGAAGAAGGTGAAGAAAGAGGAGCAAGAGGATGAATACGCTATTCCAGATTCTAAACCTAAACCCATTGTCAATAAAACACAAAAGGTTTGTTCTTTCTTTCTCGTGTCTTTTTGCCGTTTATTTGGAATATATGGTTTTTCTTCTACCCTGACAAATTTATGGTTTTGGTCTAAGGTGCAGACGAAGGTGAAGAAAGAGGTGGTGGAGAAAGAGGATGAAGATGATTTCAAAGATTCAAAATCAAGAAACGCGGTCAATAAAACACAAAAGGTCTGTTCATATATCTTTTCTTAATTGATTTTGATGTTATGGTTTCAAACTGGATAATGAGGTTAATATGCAGACTAAGGTGAAGGAAGAAGATGGGAAAGAGCAGCAGATTAGTGTAAAGAAAAAGGAGAAGAAGGTTTATGATTTGCCAGGCCAGAAGAGAGACCCTCCAGAAGAAGTATGGTTTTCCTATGAACCTTTTATTGTTAGATAGATACCATTTGAGCATACACACTCTCACACACACATGTCTGTGTATGTATATATATATAATACTTTTTTCGGTTTGCTTTGCCAGAGAGACCCGTTGAGGATTTTTTATGAATCAATGTACCAACAATTGCCGGAAAGTGAATTGGCTGCAATCTGGTAACAGCTTATTCAATTTGATTTCGTGCCACTGCTTCTGTGTTTGAGCTATAGTTTCTTGGAGACAGCCCTTGTACACATACCCTCCACATACCCTACTTTTGTCGGACTTTACTGGTTTTCTTGTAGCTGTTTTAATGTTTTGTATGCATTGCTATCATATAATAATCACAATAATGTATGCATTGGTTCTTTTAGTTAGTCCCATATCTTTTATTATGTGTTTTTCATCATTTGTCCAGTGTTTACAAATTGCTGAAGAAAAGCAACATTTTTTTAAGGAATGTACAAGCATTTCTTAAGTTTCTTTCATTGATATTTACTTCCCACATCCCGACTTAGGCTCTGTTGGAAGAAACTGAAAAGGGTTGGAAAATGTTGGAAGAATTTAAGTGTTAAAAAGTCACTCAATTAAATGAACACATACACATATGTAAGAAAACTTCAACTTTGGATAAAAAGAGTTCATCACTGTTTGTGTTTGAGGTAGTATTTTATAAATTTGGATATATAATGTTATAATATATTCATCATATATAAATACATTTTTTAAGTCGTTGGAAGAAACTGAATGGAGTTGGAAGAAATTAGGAGTTGAGTAAAGTTGGAAGTTAGATTTTCCACCCTAAAGAACAGAGCCTCAGTTGTTAAACAATTGATACCCATCATTAGAGAGGGAGTAGGGTAGATATACAAAATACAAAGTAAATGAGCCTTGGCCCAAACGAAACATACGGTGTTGGGTCGCAGCCCAACACACACTACCTTTACATGCCCGGGTTCAAGGCCCGATGTATCCATCGCGGTGCATTTTAATTTACGTTATGTACTCATCTTTCATAGGTTAAATGCATTTGGTTCTTGAGAATAAATTTAAAAAAATGCATTTTTGGTTAAATTTAAATCATTCATGTTACCTTTTCATTTGGGTTTTCTCTCTTCTGCAGGATGATGGAGTCCGGGTTGCTACCAAAGGAGAAGGCGAAACAAATGTTTGAGAAGAAGCAAAAGAAGGGAAAGATCAGTTCGCCAGCAAAATCTGTTGCAAAAAGGGAAACCAAACCGGTTGTTGTCGCGAAGAAGAAGCAGACGCCTTCGCCAGCAGCAGCAGCAGCTCCAAGAAAGAAAAGTGCCACCGGTTCATCAGAAGCCAAAAGGCCGAAACCGTCCGCAAATAATAAGCGCAAGAAGAAGGGTGGAGACAACGAAACATCCTCGGACGAAGACGAGGACAGTGACTTTGTCGATGTTCCAAGGAAGAAAAAGAAGACATCATAGTATTTGTGTGTGTGTGTGTGTGTGTGGGTGGGANGCATTTGCTTGGTTCTCTAACCTATAACCTGTGGGGATGGAGTGCTTGCTTTGGTGGTACAATTTTCTAACTGATTCAACATTAGAGATGGGTTTATCATTATTGATTTTATTGGAAATATTGTTACCCAGCATTAAACACTGCCTATTTTTTCTATTTGGCATATTACAATCCAGCCATAGCTTTTAATTACACTACAATTAGATTAGACCAGACTTTAAAAGGTTTATATTAGAACCAATCAAATCAGGTGAATGAGATCAAAGTCATGAAACCCTTGGACACTTGAAACCTATTTTGTGAGCTTAAAAATTAGTTCTGGTATCTTTTGATATCATCAATTTTTTGTGGGCGTTAGATGAGTTCTAAAATTTGTATAGGGATGTTAGGGATATGATATGTCGTGATTTAACAACTCTCAAATTGGGGTATTTTGATATCTTCATCAATTGTCAATTATCGTTGCCATTCGCAAACCCTCAAGGGTTGTCGTAATTAGGGTAATGCTGAAGGCGGTGTTGGTTTAGTCAGTTTCGGCCTAAAACCAAACTAACCGAAGAAATTTATGATTCAAACCAACCGATCAAACCGAATCGACCCTGGGCTAAATTTGAACAGACCAAAACAAAAAATAACCAAACCGGCCTTGAACTTTAGTGTAATTATGAAATAGTAAAAAATAAAAGTAAGCTATAATTACTAAAAAATGCAAAAATGCATATCTAAGACATCTATTGTTAAATACGTATAGATTTAACTCGTAAAAAAATAAGATGTACTAAAAGTGAATTTTATTAGTAAAAAATTTATTTAACACTTTAATTTTAAAATTAATCAATAAATGAAGCAGTACTAAGGATCAATTTAAAAAAAGGAATAAAGGGATGAATATCGAAAAATAGATGTCTTGAAAATAGAAGGAATAAATGATTAAAGGGACATAGTTGGGCTGAATTCACTTATTTAGACTTAAAAATGGGTAATACGGAGTATTAATTTAATATTGGGGGTGAATATGAATTTCGGTTATTCGGTTAAGCGAATAAACCAAACTAAAAAATTGAAAACTGGCAGAATTAACCGAAAAACCAATAATTTGAGAATGGGTAACCGAAACTGAAAAAACGACTATTTCAGTTTTTGGTTTCACGGTCGCTTCGGTTATTTTGCTTGCCCATACTTTTTATATCTCGACCTCGGGAAGGATGAAATAAAATAAAAAATAATATATATACCTTATTAAAACAAGTTTCAATTATATAAAAAAAATAGGACTAAAATAAGATTTATAGGATCAACCCATTATATGAAAAATAAATCCGTACTCCATATGAAATATATGAGGTCACAATATCAACACCACATATACCAGGGGTATTCCGTAAAATTTTATTTTTTGGTACGATATACGGAGTGAGTTTTTATTTTAGTATAACCTTCATTTTTTAGTCTTAACTTGGTATATTCCTAATTTAATTTACACATTCTTCTCTAAATAAATTACAAAGAAAAAGGCTAACAGTATCCCAATTTTTGTACACAAAATTTGTCAAGGACATCAATTGTCTACCTCCACGACTCCACACAGACAATTGCTCTCTGTGGGTGTTTGGCAAATTTGGTGTACAAAAACAAGATATACTAGCAAAACCCAACTAAAAATACCTATTTTTCCTATGTCTCAAGATAAAATTCAACTTATTTCTTTTCTTTTATAAGAAAAAGAAAAACTATTAACAACAATTCTCTCTTACAAATAAATGGATTTTTAAACAGTTTTCTTTTTGTAACCTTTTTTTATTATTATGACCTGTGAAGCCAAAGTAAAGAATTTGATTTCAGATGGAGTGTTTATTTTGATAGAAAAGTTTCTAATTCCATAACAATTTTAGATACTAAAAAACTCTTTGTTTTACTCTGCATTATATAAAGGAAATCAATTCTCAGAAGAAGAAGAAAAAAATATGGAGGTAAGAATGGGCAGAGGCGGCGAAAGTAAAAATCGGCCGAAGAGAGAGGGCCCACTGTGCGGCTTCTTCACCGGAGAGGAGGTGGAGGTGGCGAGGATCATAGCCAGTCTCCCTCAGCTCATCAAGGCCAAATCCAAATTCTCCGGCGGATTTCGCGGCCTCCGATTCTGGCTGTGGAAGAAGAGGAGGTCGGCGGTCGCGTTTCCCGTCGTTGCTCCGCCTCCGACTCCGCCGCGCATTCCGTCTCGCCCGCCGTCTCCGCCGTCTCCTCTGGCGGTCGAATTGGAATTTTACCGTCCGCAGCGGCTCCTTCGCAGAGACTTCCCCGTCGAGGTAAATAAGTAAATCTCTCGCTCGTCGATTCGATTTCTTGTGTCGTCTTCGTCAATTCTTCTCGTCCTCTCGAATCCGTGATTTGATTGATTGATTTACAGATTTGATAATTTGATCCGGAGTACTCGGATTATTCAATTAGGTCTGTGGAGTAGTTTATGGTTAATCACTTTTACTCTATAGAGAAATAATTTTATGTTAACACAATTTGGGATTGGGGCAGGGGCTACTGGGGTGGAGCCGAAGGGTTTAGAGGGTTATGGACTAATACACTCCATGTTAAAATTATCCAGGGCCAAGAACAACTGGCGGAGTGTCAAATAAAATTAACCACTTGCATATAATAAAGTCGGGATTTACTTTCTAACTCAAAAGCTTAAGCTGATAAATAGAGTTTCATTCTTCTATATACAGAGTATGTTAGCAATTTTTCTATCCCAAATTAAATTGCATGTTTACTATTCACACGATCAAACTCTATTCTTTCTTTACATATTTTCATTAATCAATTTAGTGTGAGTGTTGCATTAGAACAATGTGGTAAGTGTGACTGTAACAATGATAGTGTAAACTCTTATTTTAGTTTTAAAAGATTTAGGATTCCTATTTTAGTATTTTTGTAGTTCTTTACTCCTACCTAAGGAGTTCTTCCTTTTTTTACATATTTATTTGATTGATCATTTAATTGAGTGATTTTTCAGTATTTAAATTCTTTCAACATTTTCCAACTTACTCTCGTTTTTTCCACGTCCTAATTTTTTCAAACTCTTTCCAGTTTCTTCCAATATCTAACTCTAAAATTGCAACCTAAAAAAAAAATTTTAATGCGATTCGACTCAAGTGACTTATTAACTCCATCTAATAGAGTACTACGCGAATAAATCAAACTAGAGACTAAAAAAACAAGGACAGTTCGAGGTCCGGAAATTACTTGGGAGGAACTAATTAACTAATTTAGAGGGTGTTTGGGAGTGATTAACTTGTAGATAAAGTGATTTTCACAAAAGCTGAAAGTAAAAGCACCTCAACCTGCTTCTCTGAAACAGTGTTCTATGTACAAATTAGTGGTAGTGAAAAGCAGAAGCTGATATGCCAAACAGAATAAAATTATTTCCACTCAAAGCAGAAGCTAAATTATTAAAAGCAACACACTGTCAAACACCTTCTTAACAAGTAACAACGGATTCTACTTTGTATGCACGAATGGTGAACCATTCGTGGTAAATCCACTAAGCTTAGAAATCTAAATTAATTTTATTACTCGGTACAAATTGTAATAATCCAAAAAAAATTAAATACGTATTGGGTAACTTTTTTTGGGTACACCATAAGTCCATAACTAATTAGAAAGCTCGATCTTAGTTAACGTTATTGTTTCTTTATCATCTACATATATCAGTTATAAGAGATAGAACTCATAATTAAACTTTTTTTGATTTGTTTCTTTGCAGATTTAACATTAATGCAGAAGAAAAAAGAACGTGACATATATACTTGGCAGTAACTAATTGTGGTGGAAAAAATCAAACGTGTCCATCAATTGTGCAATTAAAAAAATGGACACTTTGATGTGTCTTTCTCTTTTTTGAGACGTTAGCTTTTTTTCTAGTTTGGGAAACTAGGCCTCTTTTTTTACCTACCTAAATCTTTGATTCTTTAGTCCTTCAAGTTGAATGGTTTCAGCTACAAGCAATGCCTCTTAAATGGGACCGGATATAAACTTAGGAGTTTTGTGTTTTGTGTTTTGTTTTTTTATTTTATGAGACTAAGAAGAACTAGGAGTTTTGTTGGGTAATACCCCAAACATATTTGTAGACTCGATAGTCTCACGTGTTTGATCTCATTAGTCATTGTTCAATATAAAATGACGTGAATGAGTTAAAAGCAACAAAAGTGTAAAGAAAGTAGTAAGTGGTATTAACAAAAGTGTGAGTGATTATTGTAAATTAGATTTAAAAGTGAACATAACCAATGAAATAGTCTCATCAAATGCAACAAAATTTGAAGAAACTAAATAAAAAACTTAACTTTTAGCACAGATTATAAAAATTAAATTGGGGTCATAGTCAATTTCTTAAGGTAATCCAAATATTAATTAGGACGATTTGTGCGGACTGCTGGGCTGTCAAGTGTCAACCCTACATGGACTAGTGCACTAGTCCATGTGGGGTTGACACTTGACAGCCCAGCAGTCCGCACAAATCGTCCTAACTTAACGATGCCTATGTAACGCGGCGACTAGAAATAATTTTTTTTTACCAAATTCAAAAAAATGACAAATCACCCCCCATTTAACCCTTTTTTTAAAACTTCGGCCCCGTTTGATTTACCCAATTCTGGTGTTTGGTAGCACAAAAATTACGTAAATTTGGAATTGATAGTACAAAAAATGAATTGTAATTGTCAGAATTCAATTCTATGAAATTGAATCCCGTAGAATTTCAATTCCAATTCCGTCAATTCCGCATACCAAATGGACCCTTCGTGTAAAGTCATTATGAACAGATTGTATAGGGAAGAAGGAAATTATTAGAGATAAGTCACAGAACTGTATTTATTAGTTACGTGGAGAGAAATAAGAACTATTTTGTATATAATAATAAAAATGTTAGAGGTACATCAAACTATTTCCACAACATTTCAAAGTCTAAATGTATTTCAAAGTCTCTCCACCACACACTTAAGATGGAAGATAGTGGGGCGTTTTAGCCCCACATAACACCTAATCACACCGGAATTGTCAACCCTCCGGCTTGTGAATTTCACTTTCTGTCCAGTTTTCGTAAATCAACTCATCCCACAGTGCAAACCTATTTCCACAACATTTGCTCCGCTATTTATGATTTTTTTGTTAAAAAAATATTTAAGAAATAATCAAATGAGTGAAAAGGGGAGGAGGGGTTGCCATTACCCTATTTATATTCTAAGACGTCTCTCACGTAAATTAAGATTTCAATACATTCTAGTATGCTTCCTCACGTACGTGCGTGATTTCTTTGAACTTTGTTCGTGAAACTTTAATATCTTTAGAAAATTGGGTGGTGGTGATATTCGAGCTTGTGATCTCTTAGTAAACAAAGTTCTGATACCATAACAAGGAACCGATTCAACAAAAAGTTGAAGCTTATGGCTATAGCCTAGAAACAATTTTTATATTCTACCACACCTTCTTAGTGCATGCGAGATTTATTTTATCTTCAAGCTTTGCACGTGAACATTTTTATTTATTAAATTATGTGACACTAATTTTTGAACTCATGATCTCTCAGTCAATAATATTTTTATACCATTTCAAGGCCATCATAAGTTTTTTATTCAATACAACTTTTATTTGATTATTATTTGAAATTTATTCTGTTTGACTTCAAATAAGTAAATTGAAAGAATATTGGAAAACACACCTATATTAGTAGAAAAATAGAAGGGCGAAAGAAAGAAAATTGAAAATGTGGAGACCCATCTTCCGTTTTTTGTGATCGAAAATAGTGTGTGTCGTAATAAACCCTAAACTGCGCTCTCCCTCCACAGTGAACCGCCACGTGTCACCATCCCTGATGGGTTCCCTCTCTTAAATACTCCGTATTTACCCAAAAAGCCATTCCTCTGTTCATCTTCCCCTCTCACAATCCACTCCCTCGCCGTTCAATTTCCCGGCCGAATTCCGATTCCCTGCCGAACAATATGAACCAAATTCCGACTGATTTCCCGGACGCCGAAGAGATTGAGGTTGCCCGCATCTTACTCGATTTCCCGATCCTCTTCCGCAAACCCAAGCCGCTCTGCGGCTGGGGCTGCAAGCGGCGGAGATCTAACTGGAACTCTCCCGCAGATAACGAGCATCATTCACAGGCTCCCGATCCGCCGCCGCCGCGCGCGATTATTCCGGGTGGTACTGACTTGCCGGCGAGAAAAAGAGTGAAATCCGGCGAAGGCTTGAGTCCTGTCACGCCTCTGTCCTTCCCAAGTGAATCTGACGACAAGCCTTCTCGTGCCCATTCTAAGAAAAGGGTATTACTCTCTGTAACTTTTTCTTTAAATTTTTCAATAAATGTTCGAATGAATTGAATCAAAAATAAATTCAAAAAAAAAAAAGTTATACTCCGTATGATTTAGATGGTTTTTCATAAATTGCATATTGATATTCTTTTTTTTTAGTTGCAGAAGATAGAGGAACTGAATAGGAATTTGGATGAGTTGATAAAGTGTAGAGAAATGAGGGTTGGGGTTAGTTTCGTAAATTCCCCATCTAATTTTCTTTCGTACTTTATTGTTATTTTTCATTATGGAGTATTTTAATAATTTATTTTTGTATCAAATCTCTCATTGGTTGAATTTACAGAAATTGGAGGCTATGATGGCTTTTTATAACCACCAGAAGGCATATAATCTTAAGTTGAGAGCAAGGAAACATGAGGTATGGGCTCTTTCTATTTCTTTTTGCACTATTTTTTTAATTTTCTTTTATTTATTGTTTTGTATTTGAGTAAGTTCTATAAATAATCTCTAATTACAAATAGTTTTCCATATTTAATTCATTGTTTTAAGATATTACAGATATAATCATATTTTTTAAAAATTATTCTTGACCGATCTTTATGACTTATATACATCAAAAATATTGTCACATTTAGTGTAAAAGACTATTTATGGTATTTTTCAAAAATTGAGTACTAATATGTTATATATTTTTGAAATTTGGAACTTAATATCAAAAACCACCTTTAATGAGAAACTACGGAGTATTTATTAAATTTACTCATTACATTTATATACTAATTAATTTAAAAAAGAAATTATCTTTAGTTGCAGCTATGGAGTGCGTCCAAGAAACGAGGAGAGGTTTGTGAGACTTCAGTTGGGCCCAATACGAGTGTGGTCCAACAACAGAAGAAGCATTATCAATGTGTAATGGGTCAAGGATTGCAAACGGGCCCGATGCAGGGATTGTCGGAATCTCAGATTCGACCGGGCCTGTTTGAACATCGTCGTGTCGGCCCAGGTGGAATGCTTGGCCTCAACGTTTCAGCCCAGTTTCTCGGCGGGCCTGCGCAGCCGTTGGATCTTGCTCGTAGAATGGAGGGTGATAAGAAGGCCAGGTACGCTGAGGCCCGGAGGAGCAGAATGATTAAGAATAGCCTGAAGAAGAAGAAGAAGATAAGGCATAGTGGGTCCCGCGTTATTACGCTTCCCCATAGAAGACAATAGTCGATTTTTGGTTTTTTTTTTCTTTCTTCCTTTTTTTTGGGATGTGGGGTGGGGTTAATAGTAGTGATTAGCCTTTTTTAAAGGATGGTGGAAGTGATTACTAATCACTTGTCAAAGTGTAATTAGTGTGGTTTTTTTGAATGTCTAATATCATCTATAATCATTTACATTTAGTAATCTTAGAGTCACAAATAATTTGAATATAAATGACACAAATTTAGTATTTGTATATTTTTCCAAGTTAATAGAATAATTTTAAATAATTTAAAAATTATATACAATACACAAATTGTAAGTTTATTAAAGTCATGTCCAAGTTACTTGTTCCTCTAGCATCACTCATTCAATTTCTATTACACTTAAACAAAAAAGAAAATGTTAGTCATAATCAAAATTTTACAAACTTCACAAAAAAATTTGATGTTAAATTAGAATATTTTATATTATTTAAATCAATCTTATTTCTGAGATAGGATCCAATGTTTCCCACTCTTTGTTCCAACTCCCTGTCCACTTCCCTCTTTCACTCACATTTTGTCACATAACTCATTCCACCCTAATTTAACACACACTCACCCCTTTGATGGGTAGTGTGATAGGGGGGGTCATATGAGGTGGGTGAGTGTTAAATTAGGGTGATGTTGGTTATGTGACAAAATGTGAGTGGAAGGGAGACAGGGAGTTGGGACATGGAGTGGGGGACAGGAGATCTCATCCCTTTATTTCTAGTAAAAAATTTAAAAAAGCAATTTTGTGAATTTTGTAAAGTACTTCGTATTTTTTTTGTGACTCAAACATTACTTAAACAAGAAATATAGTAAACACACTAACTCAACGTTAACCGATTATGCTAAACTCAAATTCAAAATGATATTCTTACACTATGTCTGATGAACAAAAGAAATACGAATTTAAATTTCTTTGATATCAAGTATCAAAAAATGTTTAACGAATAAAAAAAGAATTAGAGTTTCAAATCTAGAGATTTTGATAAATTAAAATAGTACTGTCACCATTTATTTGGTGGAAATTTTGATGTTTTACTTTTATTTTTATATTACTTTAGATAAATTAAGTAATGTTTTTAAAATTATTTTAAAAGAAATCAAATTGTTCAAAAGAGGACAATTTTTTTGGGAGGCGAGGGAGTAGAAGAAATAAAAATAGTAAAATTTGCACTAAAAAGAACTAAAATACAAGTTATTTGATACGAATATCGTATCGGATAGGGAAGAACTTCGAGTGTTCTTCAAGCTCCAAGAAGATAAGGTAGAGAAAAGAGAGATGAGAGATAAGGAGAATTCTTGATTATTGATTGATTGAATGGTAATGATACGGGATTACAATATATAGCGATGAGACGCTACCCCGACCCCTACATGACCTAATGGGCTCGGCCCATACAAAAACCCTAATCTATAAAATGCTGATAAATAATAATAATTAGCTACTAAGTAATAATATAACTAATTAAAATATTCTAATTAACTATCTGTATTATTCCCATCCCCTTAAAAACCACCTTGTCCTCAAGGTGGAGGCTCCCACTCGTGCTTTAGGACCAGAGACAGAATGTTAAACCAAAGGAGCAGTCCACTCTTTGAATCTTCAACCAGCTTGGCTCTTGTAGAAAAGTGGAGAAAAAAGGAGACGGGGCGCATAGCATATGTAGTTGCTCTCGGTGAAACCAGGTGCTCCGTCTTGACCACATCTACAAGGTCAAACAATTTAATGGTGTCATCAAATGAAATGAGGTTGTCCACTTGCTTCTTATCTGCATCTGCCACCTTCTCGATACTTGCTAGAACTTCATACCCTACAATTGTCATCCCAACATAATCTTCCTCAAGAGCACCACCATCATCGCCAATGATGTCAGACCCGCTATCATTGTCCTCCTTGATGAAAGATTCCTCGCTTGATTCCTTTAGTTCATTTGTGTCCTCCACAGTCGGGGCGAGGAGTGTGTTGGCGTTTTCCACCATGTGGGCAAACGTGTCTCTAGACTTCTCTGATGTCTTCTCAAAACAAACATAATTCAAATCATGTAGCGGAGCAAATCGTATTTGGAACTTTTTAACAAAATCCTCCCAACCATCAATCAAGCCACCACGCATACGCCAGTTAACCAAGCCAAGGCAGAGTTCTCTAACATTGATGTCACACGGTTCAAACGATCAACTAAAGGGATCTCATAAAACTCAAAATACGCACATACCTTAGCTAACCACTGCAAGGGTTCAGATCCGTCACATTTTGGGGGCAACGTTGGTGGGGAAAGTGGAGCACCTGTCACTTTCCGTATAGTACCCATAATGTGTGCTCTGAAACTGTGTAACTCAAAAGGAATTTGACTTGGCACAATTGGAGGTCCACGAACCAAATCCTGTACCGAGCAAAAAATTCTATGTCGAGCAAATCATAATCAATTTGACCTTCAAAATTATGGATCGGCCTAAGCTTCATAATAATTTCATACACGTGATCAAAAATCAAACACACCCCTTCATCATACTCAATTTCTCCATAAAGAACATTTCCCAACAAACCAACAAGTGTGTACAAGGTATTCATCCCCACGACCATATCCGGAGTACTTGTTGAAGCATTTGTCATAATTATTATTAAAATAATATGTGGTACCTATGAACTTCCAATTAAGCTTTGGCCTTCAAATCAATTGATACCAATAAATAGCAGCAACAATAGATTGGGTTGGTCCAGCGGCATGCAGCAACTATTTGTCTATTTCTCTCTGGCTAAGTGGCGGAAATTACTTTTCTTGCTGGCGACCAAGTATATAGCATCGACGGCAGATCTATGGATCTCTTATGTGGCTGGCGGCGAACCCAATCGGCAAAAATTTAGGCGGCGGTGATGCAGTACTCGTAGCCGGCTCACAATCACAACCTTAGGCAAATTAAATCAAAATTGCAGTAGCTTAGGTTGTGACAGATCCAATTTCCAGGGACAAGTACAGATCTGGCAAAAGTGTGGTGGAATTGGCCCTTGAATCCAAATTGCAACCGCGGCTGCAAAACTCATGCAAATCTCGTGCCGGATTGTGGATTTGTTTCTGGATCTGGAATCCTATTCGACGGTGGTGACAATTTTTTTTTATGGTGAGTTCAACAATGAGAGCACCAATTGATACGAATATCGTATCGGATAGGGAAGAACTTCGAGCGTTCTTCAAGCTCCAAGAAGATAAGGTAGAGAAAAGAGAGACGAGAGATAAGGAGAATTCTTGATTATTGATTGATTGAATGGTAATGATACGGGATTACAATAAAGAAATCACCCTTAATAGGACTAAAACATAGAGTTTATGCCCAAAATAGGACTTCTATGTTTTTATCCTCAAAATAGGACCAAACATTACAATTATACCCTTGTTGCCCTTGCCCTCTCTTCTGTGTTAACTGCCGCCCTCCATCTCCTTTCTCATTGTTTTGTTTTCGTCCCTCATTTTTTTTGTTTTTCCCTCTCTTCTTTTTTTTTGTTTTCTTTGTGTTTTTTTCTTTCGTTCCTTTTTTTGTTTTTGTTTTTTTTTGTTTTCTTTCTCTCTCCTTCCTCTTCTTTTGCATACAAAGGCCACCTTTTTTCTTCTCTTTTTCATTGTACATGTAGTTACTACGTAGTACTCCCTAGTTATTAACTTCCTTTATACGTATTTATTTTTCCTTGTTTGACCCATTTATCTTTTTGTGTTTAATCACTTAATGCTTAAAGAAATAAAANATTTTTTTTCTCTAAATATATGTTCGCATTGTGGTAATATGACACTCTACATAGACATTTATTGTAATGTACATGGTCATGCTTGCTAATGTAGATGTATTTTAATTCAAATTTTGTAAATAAAAACATGAAAAATTAAATTTTATTTTGTGATTTTTTCATTTTTTACTTTCACTTTAGAGAAAGTACAAACATCGCAGCTCCATTTTTTTTACTTTCAAAATAGAGTTTGTATTGTGGTAATGTGACATGTGGACATGTGGTTCAAGTACTTGTGGCCTTGTGGACATGTAGCGCGACCAGTGACGAAAAAATAGTTCTGTGTCACAAATGGCGAGGGGTATTTTGGGTATGGCGACGCAAATTAAGTCCTATTTGGGGGATTTAAGTTTTGGAGTCCTATTTAAGTATATTTGATATGTTTTAGTCCTATTTAAGGTTTTTTCCCATTACAATATATAGCGATGAGACGCTACCCCGACCCCTACATGACCTAATGGGCTCGGCCCATACAAAAACCCTAATCTATAAAATGCTGATAAATAATAATAATTAACTACTAAGTAATAATATAACTAATTAAAATATTCTAATTAATACAGATAGTTAATTAGAATATTTTAATTAGTTATATTATTACTTAGTAGTTAATTATTATTATTTATCAGCATTTTATAGATTAGGGTTTTTGTATGGGCCGAGCCCATTAGGTCATGTAGGGGTCGGGGTAGCGTCTCATCGCTATATATTGTAATCCCGTATCATTACCATTCAATCAATCAATAATCAAGAATTCTCCTTATCTCTCGTCTCTCTTTTCTTGGAGCTCGGAAACGCTCGAAGTTTTCTTTCTCTCCTTGCCTCCCCTTTCTTGGAGTTCGAAGACGCTCGAAGATCTTCCTTATCCGATACGATATTCGTATCATTATTTTCCAATGTAGAACTTAAATTTTTTTATTCCCTAAATAGGACTTAATAATGTCTAGTGAGAAAAATAATGTCCAGGAATGATGGACATTTACTCAAATAATGACTAATTTATACTAACCAAAGATCTTACATTAGGAAATAAAAACATATGATCCTATACTAAAAAACTCATCATGTTTTAATCTTTTTTTGATAGATTTCTCATAAAAATACAATTCTTGAATTATCTCGAAGAAATGAACAAAAAAATTTATTCACTTATCTAATAAATATTTCACCTGTTGCGTGGGACTCTAGAAAGTGATTGATGCTTGAATGCTACCCAAAGTTCTTATTTCACATGCAAATTTTCTTACATTTAATTAGGGGTGAGCATGGTACCGTATGGTACGGTATTTAGCTCGTACCGATACCGTATGAAATATTTCGGTTCGGTATGGGATTTTACTCCGTACCGATCCCGATCCCGAGCGGTTTGGTATGGTTCGTGATGGTTCGGTATCGGTTTCGGTACAAATCGGGATGAATATACATACCTACTTTATACGTTAAAATTTAACAATGCCTCTTTATTTTTAAAAATTAAAAAGTGAATTTAAATAAAAAAACATGAAAAATTTAAAAAAATAAATATTTAAATGAAAGAGATGTGTATCAAAACTTAGTTTATACTCTGTATTTCACAAACAAAAACTAAAATCAAATAAAAGTATAATTTACATACTCCCCCCGTCCCCCTGTATTTGTCCACATTTGACTTTTGGAACTGTTCATCTAATCACTTTGACTCATCAAATTCTCTCAATGTGTAAGCCTAAATATAGTCATGTGTGATCTTGTTTGATTTGTCTTAACATATAGATTATTAATATATAATTTTTATAATTTTTTAATATACAAATTACAAGATAAAATGGATTAAAGAATTGCATTGGATGGTGTGCAAAAATGAAAATAGACAAATACAGGGGGATGGAGGGAGTATAATAGAACTTGAACCAAATTTTTTTTGAAAAAATTATTATTTAGTGAAGGTGACAGTACAAGGTGACGTCCCATACCGAAAATCCCGAACCGAACATATATACTAAAATATTATAAATAATCATACCCGAGAGTAATATTTTTATATTCTTTCACTAAATAACAACAACAACAACAACAACCCAGTTGAATCCCACTACAGTAGGGTCTGGAGAGGGTGTGTGTACGCAGACTTGCCCCTACTCGCCTCCCTACTTTCGAGTAGGGGCAAGTCTGCGTACACACACCCTCCCCAGACCCTACTGTAGTGGGATTCAACTGGGTTGTTGTTGTTGTTGTTATTATTTAGTGAAGGAATATAAAAATATTACTCCCGGGTATGATTATTTATAATATTTTAGTATATATGTTCGGTTCGGGATTTTCGGTATGGGACGTCACCTTGTACTGTTCCCAAGTACCGTACCGATCATTCGGTTCGGTACGGTTTGGTTCCTTCTCGGTATTTTTTCGGTTCGATATTTTTCGGTTCGGTATTCTTGGTTTTTTCGGGAAATTTCGGTATCGGTTCGGTACTTGCTCACCCCTACATTTAATATGAGTTTAAATGTGGATATTTTTTTTAAAGGCTCATTTTTTATACTACAAAATGTAATAAGGTCTATATGATTAACATAAACCTTAGATTCACGTAAGAATTTGTTATCAAATAAATATTAAAATGCCCGAATTCTAACTTATGACATTACCCACTCCATCAAAGGCTTCCGCTTCTAAAAACAGAATGAATTTTAGATTTTACCTAGTACTAGATTTTATCTCGTGTTTCGCACAGACTCACATACTTTTGTATAAACTATATCTATAAAATTATTATTACTCCGTATATTATTAAAGTTGTTCTAGCACAAAAAAATGGAGAAAAAAAATTATACAAGCATATACATACGAAAGATAATACGGAGTACATTAACTATTTGTAAGTAACTTAGAAATTTCATTTTTGGAGAAATCATGCATGGTATCTATGGGGAGGATGTCTTTATTAATTTCTTCTATTACTCTTATTATTTTACACTTCACTAATCACCTTATAATTTTGATAAAAAAACTTTATTTATTCTCTATAATTTTAAAACAAATTTTATTTATAGACTGAAATCTTACTCTCTACAATCTAAACTCTCATATTTATTACACTTATTTTACTATTATTTTATATATATACTTTTAATGTCAATGATTTAATATATTTGGCATTCACATAATCATTCACATGATTTTAACGGACACACACACACGAAATCTCGAGCGCCTTAATGGCATGTTTGGCATCGTTGACAAAGGATGTGAAGTCCCCAAAAAAGGGTAGAAATACCAGCACTACCTCCAACTCCAAACCTTGAAAAGTTCAGCCAACTTCTTACAACTCAATTCCAACACAGATACAGCCACCTTGTCATTGCCATCCCCCCAGTATGACTGCACGGCCGAAGAAATTGCTCGTTGCTACTGCTACATTTCTAGAGAACATTCTTGTTGTTTGCACTACATCTCTTGAGAAAAAGGCAGTTCCCATCCCATCACCAGCAAAACACATTTTTTTATCCTCCCAGTCAGCAAAACATTTCCAAAGCATGTCAGTGGGATGGCATCCTAAGAGCTCAACAAGCGAATTTATCCGGTTGGATATTTAAGCGTATTTCTTTGACCGGATCTGGGTGGAAAACACTCATCACACATTATACCTTTTTTTAATAATAATTTATCCATCACATTTTATATCATTTTTATCCATCACATCAAGTGTATTTTTGAAAAATCAACACCAAAATATCACTCCCTTAATTTCTCAAAAAGTCAAAAAGGGAACAACAAAGGACGAATTGAGTATTATTTATTGGATAATTAGACTTTAAATGAATGCAGATATTTTTAAATTTATACTGAGTACTAATTCAAAATCTAATCTGGAGTATATTTAATGCTACCTCTGTCCCAGAGTATTTGTCCACTTTCATTTTTACACACCATCCAATATACTTCTTTAATCCATTTTATCTTGTTATTTATATATTAAAAAATTATAAAAATTATATATTAATAATCTATATGTTAAGACAAATCAAACAAGATCACACATGACTATATTTAGGCTTATACATTAAGAGATTTTGATGAGTCAAAGTGCTTAGATGAACAATTCCAAAAGTCAAAACTGGACGAATACTCCGGGACGGAGGGAGTAAAACTTATAGTAAATGACAAAAAAGATATTCCATCCGTTTCTCTGTATTTGTCTAGTTAAATTTTTTTGAGTCAATTAAATGATTTTTTCAGGTTCAATTAAATAAAATGATAATATATATTAATATAAAAATAATTTTATTAGATAAATCTTGTTGGAAAGTTTCAAAATTTTATTTTATTATACTGACATTAAATACTACTCCGTACTCTGTACTAAGTAATTGAGATACGAAGTAAAATGGAGCAATTACCAATCAGTGAAGATTTTTAATGTGAACTTCTAATATGTAATATGTGTTCAGCGAACACATAGTAGTTCAATTATTAAGATCGCTTGACAACTCATCACTATTCACTCCATCCCATCCACTACCCAACTTTTTTTAAATTAATAATATGTATTCGTTGAACACACATTAGTTAATTAACAAGCCAACGTCCGTTTCATACCCTCCATTAACCAATTTTTTAAATGATTCAATAAAAATGAATACTTATTCGATGGGTTAGTTATTTATTTATAATATGAGAAAAATTTTAAATTTAACATCCACAAAATATTTAAAATAACATGTACTCCCTCCGTCCAAAAAAGAATGGGACGGTTTGAATTTTTGGGATATTAAGAGAGAGATATTTTGGTATTGACTTTCCAAAAATACCCTTGATGTGACAGGTAAAAATAGGATGTGATGGGTAGATTATAGGAAAAAAGTATGATGTGATAGGTAGGGTTTGAAAACGTAAGGGGTAAAAGTGGTTTTTTAATAGAAATGTAACCGACTTTACGGGACGCAATTTTTTTCTAAACGTAACAAACTTTTTGGGACGGAGGAAGTACTAAATATTTCACAAAAACAACATATACTTTATATTTAAAAAAGATACACAAAATATTTCAAAACAACATACATTGAATATTTAAAAACAATATACACTGAACATTTAAAAACTAACATAAACTTAATATTTAAAAACGACATACACTAAATATTTGTAATGCCCCAAAACATACCCTAGAATTATTAATGAATAATTATTCAATTAAACAAATTTGTTTTGATTAAAATAAGTTGTTGTTGGGCTTTGTATTGGTATCCAATATCATCATTTGGATAAGTCTCATAGAGATAAATCCAATATCTTTGGTTCCTTCTTACAACGCTTGCATTTAATTATTGAGGCTACCTCTTGGATCCCAGTCTTTTCCTGAAAAAAGTTTTCTAAAATGGATTTTAGAAACAAAGCTGGAACCCCGATTTTACACACTTTATTAATAATTGTTATATTGTTCTACTTAACTAAAAGTTAATTATTTCATTAGAAAACTTACCAAGAAATTGGAGAATGTCTTCATGTTGGATATTTTAAGTAAATTGGACAATTTTCGGACATAAATTCGATAGGGTCCACAAAATTATTTCGTGAAATAATTATGGACGTTTAATCTTGTAAGTAAGACGAACGTCTTGACATATTACACGCCATAAATGGTGCTCCGGTGAATGAAAAATTAATTCTCACAGTTGAATGAAGGGAAGAGTAAAAACCCTTATCCCACACCACTTTTTAAACCTTTGGTATTCTCATATTTAAGCTAAGGCATTGAATTGAGCTTATGAAAGGAACAAGAAGAGGACTCCTCGCGCGCCGCCGCCTCCGCCGCCCGTCCGGCTCGGCACGACACGCGCGCGTCGAGTCAGGTCGGGTTAGGGCGCGGCGTGGCGGGACTAAATTTTTACGAGACCGAATTAAACATGCGTGGACACTTCGTAATTAACGAAGTGTCGTCCAAGGGTTGAAGCATGCATGCATAAACGGACGAAGAGTCACTCGACTCTTCGTAATGTCCGACGGTCCAGCGAAGAGCCGACTTCCTCTCCTATAAAAGGAGAGGTTGGCCGCAGAGAAGAACACACCAGTACACTCGAGAATCTCTCTCTATCTCTTCGTTCTAAAAGTTCCGACAACTCTTCAAATCCGATCAACTTCCCCGGCGATAGCTCTTCGTCATTGCGGTTTTATCCGCTCTAGATTTAGCACGTTGCGGTTTTATCCTGGAGGAGATTGCCCACGTTTGCCAGTGCGGGAGGCGGGCAATTCTACCTTAAGGAAAGCTCCGACGATTCCGCTTTCCTTACCCTTATTTCCTAAACTGCTCCGGCGCTATTCCTCTCTCCGTCCGTTCGTGTTCTTGCGTTCGTTCAAGCATCCGCAGACTCTAGTTTTATTTTCTTTTTCTCGTTGTAAAATCCGAACGTTTTATAAGTTCGGATTATTTTTATTTTTATTTTCCCGCTGTAATATCAACAATCTTAAGGTAGTATTATGGAATTCGGATTCGGCATCGCGGGTTCCTCCGGCAACGGAATGAGTTCCGAAGTTCCGGTCGAAACCATCTCGGTCGCCATGGTTGTGCCTTCCTCACCGCTGCCCTTCGAGTCTAGTGTGGGGGCTGCCACCATAACCTCCTTCTCGATGCCGAGCTTGATCTTCGGGTCGGCCCCTCGACCCATTCCCAGGCTCGAAACCACGGGTGATTACCCCGTCGGTAATTCGAACTCATTTCTCGGACCGACTATGGCTTCAGCCTCGACGGTCAACTTTGGACCGAACGCGGGTTTTCCCATACCGGTAAATCCATTCGTTGGACCTCATTGGGCGACGAACGGGCCTTTCCTCCACATGCCCAATTCAGTTGGGCCGATTTCGGTGCCCGCTAGTTCGGTTCAAAGGCCACCGAAGTTCAATTGCACGAACTTCAAAATGTGGCAACAAAAGATGGCATTCTTCATGACCGTCCTGGGATTTGCTGAGTACCTGCATCAGGATCGTCCCCAGCCCAACGAATCCAACGACCCCCTCGTGGCGATGGTGAACCAAGCGTGGTACCACAACAACTATCTCGCCATCAACATTATTCCTGAGTGGTTGGGAGATACGCTGTACCCCGTCTATGCCGGTGCTAAGCTTGCAAAAGAGCATTGGAATAGCTTGAACAAGAAGTATCAAGCTGAAGATGCCGGCACGAAGAAGTTCATTGTCGGGAAGATGTTGGACTACAAGATGGTCGACAGCAAATCTGTTGTCGCCCAAGCTAAAGAGCTTACGGTCATCTGCAATAAATGCAATGAAGAGAAAGTAGGCATCAGTGAGGAATTCCAAGTGGCAGCCATCATCCACAAACTTCCTCGGTCATGGGAAGATTTCCAAGCCGACCTCAAGCTCAAAAGAACGGAGCTAAACTTAGAGCAATTGCTCATGCGGTTGAGGATCCGAGAGGAAGGGCTTGCCAGAAGAGGCGGAGGGGCAAAGGCGAATGTGGTAGAACATCTGTCGGGCTCTTCACATGGCGGGAAGGATAAAAAGAAAATAGGTCCTAAAGGTGGGGTTTCTAAATTTGCAGGAAAGTGCTACAATTGTGGCATTACCGGGCATCGTTCCTCCAATTGTAGGAAAAAGAAGCCACAGAAGAACAAGAAGAAACCAACCGAAGCTATGTGCGCAAAGCTCCACAACCTGGATCTCTGCGCAGTCGTCACCGAGGTGAATCTCGTCGAGTCAAACCCGAGGGAATGGTTTGTGGACACAGGAGCCACACGTCATATTTGCTCCAACCGGAGCATGTTTCACGAATTTCAAGAGACCTCTGGTGACAAAGTCTGGATGGGCAACTCGGCCCAATCAGAGGTTCAAGGGGTTGGAAAGATTAAGCTAAAAATGACTTCCGGCAAGAAGCTAACACTTAACGACGTACTCTATGTGCCAGACATTCGTAAGAATTTAGTATTGGGGTCATTATTGATCAAACACAGCTTTCGAATGGTGTTTGAATCAGATAAGCTAATCTTGTCCAAGAAAGGGATTTTTATAGAAAAGGCTATATTTCCGATGGGCTTGTAAAGCTAAATGTACTGACAGTTCATGAAAAGATTAATAAAAATCCCGTTGCTTATGTGTGTGAGTCTTCTAGTTTATGGCATGGTAAACTAGGACATGTTAATTATGCATCTCTCCAGAAATTAATTAACATGGAACACATACCTAAGTTTAGTATTGACTTAACCCACAAGTGCGAAACTTGTGCTGAGGTAAAGTCAACTCGAAGCTCGTTTCAAATGATCGAACGGAACACTCAACCTCTAGAGTTGGTTCACACCGGCTTGTGTGATTTTCGAACAACGCCTTCAAGAGGGAGTAATAAGTACTTTATTACCTTCGTCGATGATAGCACGAAATATTGCTATATCTATTTACTAAAAAGTAAGATGAAGCGTTAGACACTTTCATTCGATATAAGAACGAAGTGGAAAATTAACTCAATCGCAAAATCAAATTAAAGCATTGAGAAGCGATAGAGGTGGTGAGTATGATGCTCCGCTTAATGAGTTTTGTGCACAACATGGAATAGTGCATCAAGTAACCCCACTGTATGCACCGCAGTCTAATCGAATAGCGGAGTGGAAAAATCGCACTCTAAAAAACATGATGAATGCGATGCTACTTAGTTCTGGATTACCCCAGAACATGTGGGGGGAGGCTGTTTTATCAAGTACTTCCTCCGTCCCACTATATTTGTCCACTTTCATTTTTGCACACCATCCAATGCACTTCTTTAATCCATTTTATCTCGTAATTTGTATATTAAAAAATTAAAGAAATTATATATTAATAATCTATATGTTAAGACAAATCAAACAAGATCACACATGAATATATTTAGACTTACACACTGAGAAAATTTGATGAGTCAAAGTGTTTAGATGAACAGTTCCAAAAATCAAAACTGGACGAATATAGCGGGACGGAGGTAGTAATTATTTACTGAATAAAATACCTCGTAAGAAACTTGACAAAACTCCGTATGAACTTTGGCACAATAGGAAACCCTCCTATAAGTATCTCAAAGTGTGGGGTGTCTCGCAAAAGTACTTGCACCACCACCAAAGAAGATGAAGATCAGTCCAAAAACAGTTGATGGAATCTTCATCGGGTAGAATAGTACGTCGTACCGGTTGTTGGTGTACAAATCAGATAATCCTGAAACTCACAAGAACACAATCATAGAGTCACGGAATTCAACGTTATTTGACACATTTTTCCGTGCAATATAAGTGGCAAAGCTAGTTCGTCTAAACGTTCTCATACTGAGATGATGGATAACGATGATCCAAATCAGTTGAATTCCAGCGACGATGAAGTCGAACATGAGACTGAGTTGAGACGAAGTAAAAGAATACGAACTGAAAAGACATTCGGTTCTGACTTCATAACATATCTGATAGAATTTGACAAAGGAACTTTGTCATTTCTAATGTAAAATGAACCTGATATTCTAACCTGTTTGGTAGAAAAGGAACCACGAACCTATCACGAGGCCGTAACCTCAACTGAGGGACCTCTGTGGCGAGAGGCCATAAAAAGTGAAGTTGATTCTATTCTTCAGAATCACACGTGGGAATTGGTTGATCACCCTCCAGGGTGCAAACCATTAGGTTCTAAATGGGTCTTTCGGAGAAAAACGAAGCCTGACGGCTCCATTGACAAGTACAAAGCTAGACTTGTGATCAAGGGGTATAACTAATGCGAGGGCTATGACTACTTTGAAACTTACGCGCATGTGACTAGGATAGATTCTTAGAAAACTAAGTAGGTATACTAGCAATCCGAGTGCTGAGCATTGAAAGGCCATAGTCCGAGTGATGAGATACCTTCGGTATACTTGAGATTATAACCTATGCTGTGGTAGGTATCCACCCGTGCTGGAAGGGTACACTGATGCCAACTAAACTGCGGATAATAAGGATTCAAAATCCAGAAACGGATTTATCTTTATGTTAGCCGGTGCAGCTGTTTCCTGGAAATCCTCAAAACAAACATTAATTGCTAGATTCTCCATGAAATCTGAGTTTATAGCTCTAGATAAGTGTGCAGAACATGCCGAGTGGCTTCAGAATTTACTTGAGGATATTCCAAACTGGGAAAAACCAGTTCCTCCTATTTGCATTTATTGTGTGTGTCAGTCAACAATAGGACGAGCTCGGAACAAATTGTATAATGGTAAGTCTAGGCACATTCAGCGTAGACACAAAACCATTAGACAACTTCTCAATACGGGTATTATCCCGATTGACTATGTCAAGTCAAAGGATAATTTAGCGGATCCATTAACCAAAGGGTTAACCAATGAGCAACATGAGAAGTTAGTAGTAGGAATGAGTCTGAAGGCCCTACCCTGTGCTGGAACGTTCCATGAAGGAAAAACAAACATAAGTGGTACCTGGGTTCAATGGGACAACCTACTTGTGGAACGAAGCATGGTCACTGTGGGGCAAGCCGGATCACCGGCTTAACACTCCTTCGTTCCTACTGAGATATAGTGACTCCCGAAAAACGATGAGGATATCATGACGCTTTAATGATTCTTGAACTATGGACAAAGAGGTCCAAGTGGAGTACTGTTTGTGACCATAACCACTCTGATGATAATGATGGCTGATTTTCATTATTTAAATGAGTTATGGTACTTCCATATACGGAGTAACATTCAAAGCTCGTTTTGCATACTAAAGATTTGCTTGGGTACAAAATACAAGCTAGTAGATTCAACAGGCATATACGAAGTAACATTCAAAGCTCGTTTTGCATATTAAAGATTTGCATGGTATAAAATACAAGCTAGTAGATTCAAGAGACATATAAGGAGTAACATTCAAAGCTCGTTTTGCATGCTAAAGATTTACATGGGTTCAAAATACAAGCTAGTAGATTCAAGAGGCAGATTCAAGAGGGAGGAAGAAGATCTACCAGTCCTGCCCAACTCAAAGGCTATGATCCTTGTCTCTATCTTTTTACCTCTTAGCTTTCTTTCATCGTCTTCTTTTCTCTTTTCTTCTTATTCTGCTCAGCTTTTTCATTCCCTTTTTTTCTTCATTTTTCTGCTCCTTTTGATGAGAACTCCCCTCCACCACCAAACTCTCTGGAACCAACTCCTCCTCTCTTTCTTTGATCTGTGCAACCTGTGCTTGCTCTTTCTTCTTCAACTTCTTTCTTTCATTCTCTCTCTTGTTCTTTGCAGTTTTATTCTTCCTTTTTTCTTCAGGAGTGAGGACATGCAAGGAAGTTCCCTCCTCTTCCTCAGACAAAACATCCACCTGATCAAAATTAATATAAACTTCACTGCTTGGATTAGGTGGAAACTCTTCCCCTTGAATGGCATTGAATTTTCTCCTCCACGAGATACAATATACTTTCCAAGCTCTACAGTCTTGGGAAGATGCTCGGGCACATTCAGGCGTAGTTTAATCTTAGACATAAGCCAGCTCTCAAGATCCTTCTTACAATGCTTGCATTTTCCAATCTCTGATCCCAGCCTTTTCTTGAAAAAAGTTTTCTAAAATGGATTTTAGAAACAAAGCTGGAACCCCGATTCGACATTCTTTCTCTCTGATTTCTGGGCAATTTTGAGCCTCTTCAGCTGCAAATATATTAGTATATATATATATATATATATATATATATATATATATATATATATATATATATTATACACACATTAATAATTGTTCTAGTTAACTAAAAGTTAATTATTTCATTAGAAAACTTACCAAGAAATTAGAAAATGTCTTCACATTGAAACAGATAGTACAACCGACAGCCAAGCCATACATTCCCTTGGTGACCATGGGAGGAAAACCTCATGCTCATCAATCTCATGTGCAATGAAATTTTTCCCAAGAAACTTTCCTATCTTTTTTCTAGGTTTTGGTCAATTCATCCTTTGATTCTGTCATTACAATGGGTTTCCATATCATGGAAGCCTCTTCTTTAAGACTGAGAATCTAAGATGTTTGAAAAAAATAGCACTCTGTATTAAAAGACATACCTACATACCCACCATTTTAATTTAATAACAATGGTTTGATATACCTCGTCTTTTTCCAACTCTGTCAAGTGTGAGCCGGATTTAAAGCTGCGATTTGGGCATTTTGTGTTCTGTCCCTGAAAAAGGCCATGAATAATGGCCTTTTTCATTTCTTCTTTGCCCACCAGCCATTGTTTCGAATCAAATCCGTTACATGTGCTGGTGGGAACGCTTAATGCAAATTCTACTAAATGTCTGTTTAAAATGTGAACGTATTTTAATTGATATACATTTAGAACACTAAATGGAAACAACAATTTACAAAGTAAAATAAATAAAAAGGCCATACATTGGTGTTGATGTGGGAGGAGCCATAGTAGTAGAGCAGACTTTTAGGGCAATTGTATGAAGAATTTTAATACAGCGAAGTAACAATAATAAATGAAGAAGCGGACCTAGACCAACAAACAGCACACATTGACTCTAGACCAACAATACATTAGTGTATTTTAATACAGTGAAGTAACAATAAAACTGTATGAGCAGACTTCTTTATTTTATTACATTATACTATATTGTTTCACTGTGTGCTGTTTTATTGGATGGTGTTCCACTGTGTGATGTTTATTTGGGCAGTAATTCACTATGTGCTGTTTAATTGGGTAGTGTTTCACTGTATGCTGTTTAATTGGTCTAGGTCCACTGTGTGCTGTTTGTTGGTCTAGGTCCACTTCTTCATTTATTATTGTTACTTCACTGTATTAAATTTCTTCATACAGTTGCCCTAAAAGTCTGCTCTACTACTATGACTCGTCCCACATCAACATCAATGTATGGCCTTTTTATTTATTTTACTTTGTAAATTGTTATTCCCATTTTGTGTTCTAAATGTATATCAATTAAAATACGTTCACATTTTAAACAGACATTTAGTAGAATTTGTATTAAGTGTTCCCACCCGCACATGTAACGGATTTGATTCGAAGCAATGGCTGGTGGGCAAAGAAGAAATAAAAAGGCCATTATTCATGGCCTTTTTTAGGGACGGAACACAAAACGCCCAAATCGCAGCTTTAGATCCGGCTCACACTTGACAGAGTTGGAAAAGGACGAGGTATATCAAACCCTTGTTATTAAATTAAAATGGTGGGTATGTAGGTATGTCTTTTAATACAGAGTGCTATTTTTTTCAAACATCTTAGATTCTCAGTCTTAAAGAAGAGGCTTCCATGATATGGAAACCCATTGTAATGATAGAATCAAAGGATGAATTGACCAAAACCCAGAAAAAAAATAGGAAAGCTTTTTGGAAAAATTTCATTGCACATGAGATTGAGGAGCATGGGGTTTTCCTCCCATGGTTACCAAGGGATTATGTATGGCTCGGCTGTTGGTTGTACTATCTGTTTCAATGTGAAGACATTCTCCAATTTCTTGGTAAGTTTTCTAATGAAATAATTAACTTTTAGTTAACTAGAACAATATAACAATTATTAAAGTGTGTATAATATATATACATATACTAATATATTTGCAGCTGAAGAGGCTCAAAATTGCCTAGAAATCAGAGCGAAAGAATGTCGAATCGGGATTCCAGCTTTGTTTCTAAAATCCATTTTAGAAAACTTTTTTCATGAAAAGACTGGGATCCAAGAGGTAGCCCCAATAATTAAATGCAAGCGTTGTAAGAAGGGACCAGAGAGCTGGCTTATGTCTAAGGTTAAACTACGCCTGAATGTGCCCGAGCATCTTCCCAAGACTGTAGAGCTTGGAAATGATATTGTACCTCGGGGAGGAGACAATTCAAAGCCATTCAGGGGGGAAGGGTTTCCAACTAATCCAAGCAGTGAAGTGTATATTTATTTTGATCAGGTGGATGTTTTGTCTGAGGAAGAGGAGGGAACTTCCTTGCATGTTCTCACTCCTGAAGAAAAAAGGAAGAATAAAACTGCAAAGAACAAGAGAAAGAATGAAAGAAAGAAATTGAAGAAGAAAGAACAAGCACATGCTGCACAGATGAAAGAAAGAGAGGAGTTGGTTCCAGAGAGTTTGGTGGTGGAGGGGAGTTCTCATCAAGAGGAGCAGAAAAATGAAGAAAAAAGGAAATGAAAAAGCTGAGCAGAATAAAAAGAAAAGAGAAAAGAAGAAGATGAAGATGAAGAAAGCTAAGAGGTAAAAAGATAGAGACAAGGATCATAGCCTTTGAGTTGGGTTGGACTGTAAGATCTTCTTCCTCCATCTTGAATCTGCCTCTTGAATCTACTAGCTTGTATTTTGAACCCATGCAAATCTTTAGCATGCAAAACGAGCTTTGAATGTTCTCCTTATATGTCTCTTGAATCTACTAGCTTGTATTTTGTACCCATGCAAATCTTTAATATGCAAAACGAGCTTTGAATGTTACTTCGTATATGCCTCTTGAATCTACTAGCCTGTATTTTGTACCCAAGTAAATCAAAACGAGCTTTGAATGTTACTCCGTATATGTAAGTACCATAACTCATTTAAATAATGAAAATCAGCCATGATTATCATCACAGTGGTTATGGTCACAAACAGTACTCCAAAGGATATAATTCAAAGATTTCACACGGCTCAAGAAAAAATTGGGACATAATTCAAAAATGCTAGGGTACACCTTCGGAAAAGTGTACCCCATTATCGGATTCGGCATTGCGGGTTCCTCCAGCAACGGAATGAGTTCCGAAGTTCCGGTCAAAACCACCTCGGTATCCCCCACATGAATGAAAATTAATTCATGTAACTGGCAATAACTCTAAAGTTGAAACCTGCAAGAGTAGGTAGGTTTTATGCCTTTGAACCTACTCCTTGTAAAGTATACCTTCTCTACTGGCTGTTCAGTAGAACGTGATATCTTTGAACTGTACTGCCATTTGTGTAAACGACGATATACAATACACAAGTTTCAACCAACCATCATTCCGTTCTCATGGGTGTGCCCATTATGGTCGTGGAACACGCATCTGGTTTTGCGAGAGTGTCAGACAGGATCAGCCTGAAATCCTTCTATTGAAGCGACCGCACTTCACTCTTACATAGGTGATTCTTCTAAGAGTATCCCGATTACTCCACTTGGACCTCTTTGTCCATAGTTCAAGAATCATTAAAGCGTCATGATATCCTCATCGTTTTTCGGGAGTCACTATATCTCAGTAGGAACGAAGGGGTGTTAAAGCGGGTGATCCGGCTTGCCCCCACAGTGACCGTGCTTTGTTCCACAAGTAGGTTGTCCCATTGAACCCAGGTACCACCTAGGTTGGGTTTTCCTTCATGGAACGTTCCCAGCACAGAGTAGGGCCTTTAGACCCATTCCTAATACTAACTTCTCATGTTGCTCATTAGTTAACCCTTTGGTTAATGGATCCGCAAAATTATCCTTTGACTTGACATAGTCAATCGAGATAATACCCGTATTGAGAAGTTGCCTAATGGTTTTGTGTCTACGATGAATGTGCCTAGACTTACCATTTTACAATTTGTTCCGAGCTCGTCCTATTGCTGACTGACAAACACAATAAATGCAAATAGGAGGAACTGGTTTTTCCCAGTTTGGAATATCCTCAAGTAAATTCCGAAACCACTCGGCATGTTCTACACACTTATCTAGTGCTATGAACTCAGATTCCATGGTGGATCTAGCAATTAATGTTTGTTTTGAGGATTTCCAGGAAACAGCTGCACCGGCTAACATAAAGATAAATTTGCTTCTGGATTTTGAATCCTTATTATCCGTAATCCAGTTGACATCAGTGTATCCTTCCAGCACGGGTGGATACCTACCATAGCATAGGCTATAATCTCGAGTATACTGAAGGTATCTCATCACTCGGACTATGGCCTTCCAGTGCTCAGCACTCGTATTGCTAGTATACCTACTTAGTTTTCTAATGGCGCAAGCTAAGTCTGGCCAGCTCATCAGGTATATTAGACTTCCGATAACTCTAGCGTACTCTGTCTGAGAATCGCTACTCTCTCGGTGTTTACCAAGGTGAACATTTACGTTTATCAGCGTCTTAGCTATCTTTGTATCATCCTTGTTGAATTTCTCAAGGATCTTGTCAATGTAGTGCGATTGGCTCAAGCTCAGACCATCCGGTCTTCTTAGTATTTTGATTCCAAGAATCACATCAGCCAGACCCAAATCCTTCATATCGAATCATGTGTTCAACATGTCCTTGGTGGACTTAACCATCCTATCGTTGCTTCCAACGATGAGTATGTCGTCTACATACAGACATAGAATGACATATCCTTCAGATGTGTCCTTAAAGTATACCCACTTATCCGACTCATTTATCTTAAAACCGTTGTTCAATATTACCTCGTCAAACTTATCATGCCATTGTTTTGGCGCTTGTTTAAGACCATATAATGATTTCACATGTTTGCAGACCTTCTTTTCTTGGCCCGAAACCTTAAACCCTTCGAGTTGTTCCATATAGATTTCTTCATCTAGTTCGCCATTTAGAAAAGTTGTCTTCACATCCATTTGGTAAACATCCAAGTTTCGTAAGGATGCAAATGCGATGATCATTCTGATAGAATCTATCCTAGTCACAGGCGCGTAAGTATCAAAGTAGTCATAGCCCTCGCGTTGGCTATACCCCTTGATCACAAGTCTAGCTTTGTACTTGTCAATGGAGCCGTCAAGCTTCATTTTTCTCTGAAAGATCCATTTAGAACCTAATGGTTTACACCCTGGAGGGTGATCAACCAATTCCAACGTGTGATTCTGAAGAATAGAATCAATTTCACTTCTTATGGCCTCTCGCCACTAAGGTCCCTCAGTTGAGGTTACGGCTTCGTGATAGGTTCGTGGTTCCTTTTCTACCAAACAGGTTAGAATATCGGGTTCATTTTCCATTAGAAATGACAAAGTTCCTTTGTCAAATTCTATCAGATATGTTATAAAGTCAGAACCGAATGTCTTTTCAGTTCGTATTCTTTTACTTCATCTCAACTCAGTCTCATGTTCGACTTCATCATCGTTACTGGAATTCAACTGATTTGGATCATCGTTATCCATCATCTCAGTATGAGAACGTTTGGACGAACTAGCTTCGCCACTTAACTTGCACAGAAAAATGTGCTCAAAAAATGTTGCATTCCGTGACTCTATGATCGTGTTCTTGTGAATTTCAGGATTATCTAATTTGTACACCAAGAACCGGTACGACGTATTATTGTACCCGATGAAGATTACATCAACTGTTTTTGGACTGATCTTCATCATCTTTGGTGGTGGTGCAAGTACTTTTGCGAGACACCCCCACACTTTGAGATACTTATAGGAGGGTTTCCTATTGTGCCAAAGTTCATACGGAGTTTTGTCAAGTTTCTTACGAGGTATTTATTCAGTAAATAATTACTTGATAAAACAACCTCCCCCCCACATGTTCTGGGGGTAATCCAGAACTAAGTAGCATCACATTCATCATGTCTTTCAGAGTATGATTTTTCCGCTCCATTATTCCGTTAGACTGCGGTGCATACGGTGGGGTTACTTGATGCACTATTCCATGTTGTGGACAAAACTCATTAAGCGGAGCATCATACTCACAACCTCTATCGCTTCTCAATGCTTTGATTTTGCGATATAGTTGATTTTCCACTTCATTCTTATATCGAATGAAAGTGTCTAACGCTTCATCTTTACTTTTTAGTAAATAGATATAGCAATATTTTGTGCTATCATTGACGAAGTAATAAAGTACTTATTATCCCCTCTTGAAGGCGTTGTTCGAAAATCACACAAGTCGGTGTGAACCAACTCTAGAGGTTGAGTGTTCCGTTCGATCGTTTGAAACGAGCTTTGAGTTGACTTTGCCTCAACACAAGTTTCGCACTTGTGGGTTAAGTCAATACTAAACTTAGGTATGTATTCCATGTTAATTAATTTCCGGAGAGATGCATAATTTACATGTCCTAGTCTACCATGCCATAAACTAGAAGACTCACACACATAAGCAACGAGATTTTTATTAATCTTTTCATAAACTGTCATTACATTTAGCTTTACAAGCCCATTGGAAATATCACCTTTTTCTATAAAAATCCCTTTCTTGGAAAAGATTAGCTTATCTGATTCAAACACCATTCGAAAGCCGTGTTTGATCAATAATGACCCCGATACTAAACTCTTACGAATGTCTGGCACATAGAGTACGTTGTTAAGCGTTAGCTCCTTGCCGGAAGTCATTTTTAGCTTAATCTTTCCAACCCCTTGAACCTCTGATTAGGCCGAGTTGCCCATCCAGACTTTGTCACCGGAGGTCTCTTGAAATTCGTGAAACATGCTCCGGTTGGAGCAAATATGACGTGTGACCCCTATGTACACAAACCATTCCCTCGGGTTTGACGCGACAAGATTCACCTCGGTGACGACTGCGTAGAGGTCCAGGTTGTCGAGCTCTACGCACATAGCTTCGGTGGGTTGGAAATCTTCCCATGACCGAGGAAGTTTGTGGATGATGGCTGGACTACAAGATGGTCGACAGCAAATCTATTATCGCCCAAGCTGAAGAGCTTACGGACAGCGCGTGTCGTGACGTGCCGTGCCGTGACGTGACGTCACGTGATGTGCCGTGACGTGACGCGGTGACGCCCAAGCTGAGGAGTCCTCTTCTTGTTCCTTACATAAGCTCAATTCAATGCCTAAGCTTAAATATGAGAATACGAAAAGTTTAAAAACCGGTGTGGGACAAGGGTTTTTACTCTTCCCTCTCATTCAACTTTGAGAATTAATTTCTCATTCACTCGAGCGCCGTTTATGGCGTGTAATATGTCAAGACGTTCGTCTTACTTACGAGATTAAGCGTCCATAATTATTTCGTGAAATAATTTTGTGGATCCTATCGAATTTATGTCCGAAAATTATCCAATTTACTTTAAATTTCCAACAATGAAGACGGTGAAGAAGAAGACAGCGTCTAGTAGCTTTTGGTGCGAGCAAAAGGAGGCTAGGGATTCTGATCGAGATTCCTCTTCTAGCTAGGGCTTGGAAGGGTAAAGCTCATGGGTGGATGGCCAAGGAGTCTCAAATTAAGATACCAAATCAAATACTCTCCTTTTTTTTTAGAGAAATCAAATACTCCGTTTATGCTGTAATAATTCTTTTACTTAAATGTTGTTTTGTTTGATTTTCATAGTCTTTTTCTTGAAAAAAATATTTTTAATCCATGAAATTACCTACTATGCAATTGAGATTTCTCAAAACAAAAAAAACAAAATTAGACCCCATTTATTTGAGATATATTGTGAGATATAAAAAAATCATTTTCATTTCTTTGATTACTTTTTTCATTTCAGTTTAAGTTGTCTGTTTATTATTTATTTACTATAATCTCAATTATTTTCTTTTCATATTTTAGTTATGTATGGAGTATTTAATAAAAGAATATATTCATGTCACTGTTACGATTTTTGTCCATTTCTTAATGTAATTTTTATTTTTTAATTCTATATTATTTTTTAATACTGTATAAAATAGTTTAAAAATAATAGAAATCATATATCATAAATTCAAATAGACAATTTAAAATAACACGCGGGGAGTAATTTCCATTTTTTTGCACAAAAAACATAACTACCAATTGACTATTATTAATATAAATGTATCATCATAATTAATATTTTTCTTTTTAAGTACTCCGTATAAAAAAAGTAGTCTTGTGCCATTAATATAAAAGAGTCATAATTTCCAATTGTGACTCTTTTAGCTTCATTGACTACTGAAACAAAAAAAAAGAATCTTTTAGTTACCTGAATAGCCCCCAATTCCAAAAGTTGCGGCTTTACTGGATGAAGCTCCTATGGATATTGGAAATTACCAAACATTAAAAAATTACACATGTATGTTCAAAATTTCATAGCATTATCAGGCACTCAAGACTTATGGAACAAATGCCCCCAATAACTGTCACTGCATCATTTGAAGATTATGAAGCTGAGAGAAGAACTCACCAGCAGATTCGAAGATCTTACTAGAATAGAATAAAACGCTGTTGATTCCGCATAGTTGATGGAGAGAAAGTAATCCAATGCCGATCTACACTATGCATTAGCACCATATAAAGAAAAAGAATGAAAGTTTTAGCATGCTTTATAACACAATTTTTTGTTGTATAAACAAAAGAAACTGATAAAGATGTTTATAGAACCATGAATATTTTACCATCAGAGGCAAATAATATCACCGTTTCTTGAGTTCTGAAAACCGGACAGTACTTGAGCTTTTACCAGATAATGGCACTGATTTCTGAAGAACCATGAATGTTTTACCATGAAGAATATTTTTCGACCTATATCACAAGAAACACCAGTAAATACTACGGAGTATATCACAAGAAACACCAGTAAAAAGCTGTCCATTTGTGCCTCAGAATCATATAACGAATGTATAAAGAGTCCATAAAGAGAGCCAGTGAGTCTGAATGTTTTATGCAGGAGCTAAGACCACAATTACTTCTGTACTCACCTTTAATTTAGACTGTTCCAAGTATTCACCAGCTTCATCCCTAAGGTGCAATCTGATTTCAGTTCCACGGCCAAGTGGCTCATTCCACTCATCCTATTAAATTGCAAAGGCTCCATAAGCCTTTAATTCCCAAACATATCTGAAGGCAGAGATTTCGGAGCAATTACTCACATAATATTATGAGAAATTAGAAGCCTTGATGATCAGTTAGGAGGCTCGAAAAGAAATAAAATGGGGAAGAAAATGGAGAAAGGAAAAAAATTGGGGGGAAGGAAAACTGTTAAGGTCACAAAAGAGCACAGATTCACACATTCATTTCAATGGACATCATGGTAGAGCTTACTGCTTATCATCATTGTGTTTGCTAATAACTTCTACATAGTCAGCCACGAGATAGACAGAGTAGAACCCAACACCAAATTCTCCACTTTTCTGCATTTTCTCAACAAATATTGCTGTACAGAACAACAAAGTAACAACCATATAACTAATTCTATCCAATAACAGAGAAGAGGATAAAGTATGCAGCTAGCAGTGAACTGCTTTTTCATATTTGAGATTTGCAAAACAGATACCTGAAGTGCCAGATTTGGCAATGGTTCCCAAATTCTTGATTAAATCCTCCTTTGTCATCACAATTCCTCTTCCTCTGTCACGAATTGAATGGATTTTCTTTTCTTTATCCAATTTAATTTGCATTATAAATCATATGAGAGAGTAAAATATTTAACCCATAAATTAGTGTTAATAATGTTATCAAAGTAACCAATATGCATAATAAGATCAAACAATCTGCCTTGAGCCCATGACACTAATCAAATCCGACCAAAACTCCAATTTTCAATTTTAATGTCTTCAAATCAAAGAATCAGTGTAGAAAATCCACGAATTCGATCAAAGTGCACATAGATCCAATCCAACCACAAAGAAGACAGACATATATACAGCTGTGAATAAATTTGAAAAGGATGGGGAAAGAAATCACCTCTCGCTACTCGATCTTTGCGCTCAGAAGCGTGAGCCGTCCATGAAGACTTGTCCAATTGAGACCTAGGGTTTGATCATAGCACACTAGCCTTGACACTAGGGATGGCGACGGGCGTTGTTGTCGAGCGCGGAAATGGCGATGGCCCAAAGACAACGGCGCGCGACGATGGTGAATGAACAATCGTAGAGAAGAAGATAAATAGGGTGTCTCTGGTTATCCTACTATATAATGCTAAGGCCTAAGAGTGATTTGTGAACAGTGTTCCCGCCCAAAATATTGGGCTGGTCACTACCAAATGGGCCTGTGAGATGGAGAGGCTAGAAAATGAGACCTATGATGCCCATTTGGGTAGCAGTGGTCAGAAATTACATTAAAACTCCAAATTACTTATTGAGCCACGTGCCATAAAAAGTAGAAGTCTGAATCAACATCTTTATTTCTTCTTTTTATGCGCTACAGTAACAGAGAATTTGTGGACCACATCTTTATCTTTTAGCAATAAAAGATAATGGCCTCTAATCTTCTCCATCGCACGCTAAGCTTACATCATAAGCCTGCTAAGCTTACATAGTACTATTCGATTTGAACCCGACCCATTGTCATCCTACTTGCAGGCTTGCAGCCAATTATCAAACACCCTTTTTGACTAATCAAATCTGCTAAAATTGGTCAAAACAACAAAAACTATCCTAAGTGCCAAAAACCAAACATGCCCACTATATTTTCAAACAAATTTATTTATAAATATAATTAACCATAGTTTGACCAAAATGTCAAATTCTGAAAATCTTTAAGGAAGAATAATAATTTTAAGGAAAATGGTATTTGTACTCCAAAAATTACAACCCCATTTTGTACAGCGCAGGGAAAATGTTATTTTGTGTTGGTGTAATGCTAATTTTTGTTAACACACAATTACTTTGTATCAGTGTAAATTTTTATAAACGCACCAACACTTTGTGTATGTATACACCTTCAAAATGATGGTGCATACATTTGGTGTACAAATGAGATACAAATTTTGGGGTAAATGCAACATACATCTAATTTTTAAAGTGAAACTATTATCTCAAAAGCACAAAAGCAAACTTTTCAAAGGAAACCATCAAAAATAGACAACTTTTTATACCTCACATCTATCATACCAACAATATAATTTGCAAGATAAGAACACACATTCCACTCCATTACGTCTCACATTTATACGACACCTTTTTTTGTTCTAACTATCTTAAATGTATTTGGTTGTATTACTTCATAATACATTTAACCCCACAAAATAATTCACAAAAAATGAACTCACATTTCACAAAAGATGTATTTAATGCCTGTTTCAATCGATAAAGTTATTTGCAAAACATCCAATCTATGTAAATGTGAAGTAATAGCTTTGCTTCCCCAATCAATTCCTGCCTGTTTTTTGTTCATATTATTTATATTATTTATTGTATTTGGTTTTATATTCCCATTTGATTCTCCTGATTTTTTTTCACATTCATGACAATACAAAAAGGCTGTCAATATAATGTTCTTATTTAAAAATTCATTTTGGCTAGCGGGTTAAATATTTGACTAACTATATTTTAAAATATTTAATTGATTAAAATTCAAAAAATCAGAGTACGAAAATTAAAATTATATTTTTCAAATCTCTTATTTACTAAATGATAGGTTTAACTAATCACTTAAACACGTGAATTTAAAAAAACATTTTGAATTTATTTTAACATCTACCATTCTAAGTGATATTTTTAAATGTTTCCGTCCCTAAAAAATTTAAAATAATTTGACACTTTAATCAAATTGTGTCACTCTTTAACTATTAATCCTTGAAAATTTATATTTAGTCAACTTTTAAAAAAAAATATTTTGCAAAAAAATTTAACATAGTCAAATTTTGGCAATATTTAAAATCATAAACTATATTTAATTCATGATCATCGTGTGCCATAGTTTGACCAAAATGTCAAATTGTGGAAATCTTTCAAAAGGAAGAATAATAATTTTAAGGAAAATGGTATTTGTACTCCAAAAGTTTCTACTTCATTTTGTACACCGCAGGGAAATTTTATTTTGTGTTGGGGTAATGATAATTTTGTTAACGCACTAATACTTTGTGTCTGTGTAAATTTTTGTTTTCAAATTAAATAAAATTGATATTAGATATTAATACAAAAATAATTTTGTACTCCATCAGTTTGGAAAAAACCTTCCTACTTTGACTATAAGGCAAAATAAGGAAGTGTAAAATTATAGTTGATTTTCCAATTTTGCCCTTGATGTGATGGGTAAAAGTAAGATGTGATGGATTTATTATTAGAGAAAAGGTATGATGTGATAAGTAGGGTATGAAAAAGTAAGGGTAAAAGTGGTTTTTTAATAGAAAGGGAAAGTGTTTTGTTGGAAATGAAAAAAATGAAAGAGGAAGTATTTTTGACTTCTTCCTTCCCATATCTTTCTTTATGTTGTGCAAATCAAAGAAAAATTCCAAGTTTTCAATCTATTTTATTTAAATCTTACTATAGAAATAGGAAGTAAAACGTACATATTTTATTCTATCAATCAAGTCATGAAACAACACAAACAAATGATCTAAAAAAATTCCATGTTTTCAATGGATAAAGTTATTTGCAAAACATCCCATCTACGTAAATGTTAAGTAAGATCTTTGCTTTTCCATTTTGTCACTGCCTGTTTTTTCTTAATATTATTTATTTTTTGTTAATATTATTTACTGTATATTTCAACATGTAGAAATTATTTAAATATAGATCAATTACCTTATAAGCGGATTGACACACAGGCTACCTGCAGACAAAAAGATTGTATAAGCATATGCTTGCTACGGGAATTTGAGGATTGCAAGCATACATTATTCAATGATTACAAATTCACGGATGTTAAAGTGTGATCAGTCCCCTAAAGTGTATTGCACTTAGATCATTTCCTAGAGAGTTATGTCGATTTTATTTGCTTTTAAAAGTTCATACTTTTGTGAAAGCTAGATTCTTTGATCATAGTAAATACCATTAAATGGAATTGCCAAATTTATTTCTTCACCTCTGCCTAACTCATGTTCATGAAATTATGGTCTATATGGCATATTAAGAAGTTTCATGTCCTTTTGTAGGTAACTAGACTCGTACCCGTGCGATGCACGGGCAAATTTTTTATCTAAAATTTTAAAAATAAAATAAACAAAGCAAAATTTAAGTTTGAATATAAATTTTGTGTGTGTGTGTGTGTGTATTTTCTAAACCAATTTGGGTTAGAAAATTATAAAAAAGATATATCTTCGATATATTCCATGAAACACCTTATATAGAATACATCAACTGTTTAATATAAACCCAAATAAATAACTAACATACTACAACAGAACTACATAAAAAAAAGAGTTTAATCAATATATTAACTTGGAATTTAATCCAAGCAATACAGCCTTGCACTAACAGAAATGCACTACCTCTAATCTGTCCATTACCGACCTTCCAACTCTTGCCAAACCTGATTTTTTTCATGGAATCAATTTTCACGACTAAAAAAATGCAGATCTCAAGTCACAAAAATCTCAAATGAAACAAACTTTTTCACAATTACAAACTCTAAATTATGAAAAAATAGCCTAGATAGAGGTAAATTTTAAATGTAGATTAGATCTAAATTTTATTGTGAATAAAGTCATGCACTCGGGCAAAACATTGAGGTAGAGACCTCTGTGTTTTGTCTAAGTTTGAAGCTCACCGTTTCAAAAAAGACTCATCAAGAGCAAACCTATGTCAATCTCATTTAGCATATTATAAAACTAAAAATTTATACGCAATTTTAATATTTACAGAAATAATTTATTATTTAAGATAATGTTGCCTTTACAGAATTGTTGCAGTTGAAATCTAAACTCAATAGTACCCTATATAAATGCCAGTTGTTGGTGTTACCTTAACAACATCAAATCCGGTGTTGCTGTAAAGTTTGATATCATAGGCAGGTCCATTTTGCTCTTGAACCCACCAAATAGGCACCGCAAGAGGCACTAACAATCTACACCAAAACCACTTATGTTCATAATCATTCATCGAGAAGAGATTAAAAAGCAGAAGTAATTAATAATTATTATAGGCATATACATATATCACAGAAAAAACATCTTTAGAAATTGTGTACATATTGATATTTACACAATTTATCAATTCAATGTAATGTTAAAAATCATACAAACTAAAATTTTAGTATATTCTTTGTATATGAAAGAACGTCAATCATTGATTCAAAAAGGCCCACAATAAATTACTGCAAATTAAACAATCTTAGATTTCTTTTTGGATGCAACATTAAATTGATAATCAAACTGAGATAATTTTGGGTTCAATAAAAGACGGAATCCCGGGGGGGATAAAGAAATCCTAAGCTTAAGAGCGAGATTTATCACCTTGGAAAACTTTGAAGCTTAATGAAATTGAAGTTTGTGTAAGAACCTGACCCACCTTCATGCTTTAATATCTCCAGGCTTTTTTATGGCATTTGTTGTGTGCAATAGAAGAACCTGACCACTATGGAACTAAGCCTATCAGAGAAATGTAGTGTGAAATGTTACCTAGACCCTCCTTATTGAGGCAATTTCTGGAACACATATTGAGCATTGCTTAAGTAGTCTAGGTTGCAAAAGAACTCCATTTTTGAAGTAAAAAGTTAGACTTATGGTTAAGCAAATCTATAAAATGAAAGACAAAGAAGATGAAGACCGGTAGCTGCTGATTTTGATGGGTAAAATGCCTTTCTCGCCAGAATCAATCACGGGGGTTAGCGCCAAGACCCTTGCCGCTAGCGCTAGAACTTGATTTGGAAACACTCATGGTCTGAAAAAATCAACTTGGACTCAAAAAACGACCTCTTCAACACCAAAATTTTTAAGAATATAATGAGGAACTGGAAAAATGATTTTATTAATGGAGTAGTAATGGTGCAGATCCCTATTTGCAAAAAACAAAAAAAGTCTTTCAAAAAAAGGAGTAGTAATGGTGAAGATACAGACATCCCATTGCAAGGAAGGAAAAGATTCATGCATCTCCAAGAAAAAATAATTCAATTCATACCTATGACAATCCCAACAAACAAATTTTCATGAGGATTAATTGCACTGAACAAATTTTTTTCAATTAAGAAAAAGAAAAGAAATCTCAACAATCCCTAATTACCCATAAGAAAAGGAATCAAATAAAATAAAAAATTCTTCTTCACTGACCTTAAGATGGCCTTTGCACTGAAATAGAGTTTTTTTGTTGGAGACTCCATTATTAGCTCTAAAAACAGGAATTGCATTTCAAAGAAATCAGCAGTGCATAAAAATAATCTAAAGAAATCAGGAATTCAAAGTTTAAGGACTGAAATTGAATATGGGGATTAGAGAAATACCCTGATAATCCTCTTTTATTAACAACAAATGAGCACCTAAACACTGATTAATCACACCTAGTGCTGTCCTGTTGGGCTTGTTCTCCATTCAAAACTTTCTCCCCCCACCTTCAGGGTCAAACCTTAAATAAATAAACAAAACCAAATCAGAATCCGACCCATTGATAATACATTCTTCAACAGAACCCTAAAAAAGAAGAAGAAAATCCATCCCTTTACTACGCACATAGTTCTATAGACTTAAAACATTAAGCATATCACCCTCCAGAGAAATATCCCACAAAAACGTTAAGCAAGCAACCAAATTACAAATATTCTAACTCAAATATGTCATAGTGAGAAGGATTTTACGGATTAGAAAAATTCAGCTCTTCCACACACTTAGAAGATTGTCTAGCCTCAATTGAACCATCTTCCTAATATAATCCACACCCTGCAAAACCCAAGTATGAATCAAAGAATAGAAAAAAACATTTCATAATGTGCATGTGCATTGCGTCGGCATTGCCTATGCCTTCCTAGCAGGCAGATTCTTTAGGACCAAATTTTAGGCGGCCCCCCATCTCTACTCCGAAACTACCATTTCAACTTGAAAATAAATTCTCAAATATTAGTAGCTATGTTAAATTCTAAAATATTAGAATGCAATCTAAAAAGAAACTTTCGTTGTCCATCGCGAAGTTCTAAAGATCTTATAAATAAACAAACTAATAAAAACAGAAAGAAAGTGCTACCTATTCTCTGAATGCAACATCTACTTTGTGTTGCCTGGCCCATCATCAATGAGGGAAGATAGGATTGAAACTCTAGCCTACCCCTGTTGAGTTTGCCTCTGCTAATAGCTGCACCATCATTAGACAAAATTAAAACTCAACGGCTCGGGTTAGGCTACTGCTTCAACGAAAGGAATGGCTAGCGCAAGAACCCTAGACCTTGTGTATGTTCCTATTATTCGGTTTTAAAGGTTAAAACAAAACCTTATTTTGTTTGGTTCAAAATGGGAGTTGCCTAAAATAAACAAAAGAGAGATCTAGAAGAAGCTTACGGTTGACTCTGGCGAATGACAAACAAAGAGAGCACGGCTCATATACGGCCTTTCTTTGGGCATCATCCCTTACGCTACGTTAAAGCAACGGGCAGCAGAGAGGATGAACTGAGAGTTGAGAAATCCCAATCTCGAGAACTGGAATTGGAATTTAAAAAGAGAAGTAGATTCAAAGGATGATAGTAAATAACCAAACATATTGAGGATGAGGAATTGAGAACATACTTGTGGCAGATAGTTTTCTCATCAGGGTTGTACTTCCTAGCAATTGCCATCAAAGAAGGCTCTATAACTCCACCATGAAGCCTCAACACCAGATGCAGAGTCGACTCTATTTGAATCCGAAATCAAGCACAAATAAAGATGAAATTCCACGCTGATTGAACCCAAAAAGGCATCAAGAACAAAACCCTAGATTAAACGTTTTACCTTTTTCGATGTTGTAGTCGGCAAGGTCCGGCTGTCTTCCAGCTGCTGCTTCCGGCAAAGATCAATCTCGGCTGATCCGGCGGAAGTCCTGTAACAAAATGCATCGATTGAGCTAAAATATGAAAATCTGAAAATTCCAGAAATTTTAAAGAAAATCTGAAAATTCCAGAAATTTTAAAGAAAATCTGAAATTCCTGAAATTTTATACCTAAAATATGTAAATCTCAATCTAGCTACAAAAGAAATTGGTAAGAAAATGAAGAAATTGTAAAAGCATCTCGATCGGAACCTCAAAATTAGAAAGAAAAAAATTCCAATCAGCGGCGGCGAGGCTACTTACTGGCGGCGGTGCTCTCTCTCTTCCGCCGTCTCTCTCTTGCTACGGCGAAATGCCGATGGAATTGGACGGGGGAAGCCTCCTTATTCGCCTCTCTCTCTAGCCTCATTAAGTAATTGGGCTCTTAAAAAGTGCTTTTCAGCACTGTAAATAAGTGCTCACACTCCCCAATTGTTTATTTTCATGATTACCTCCACCCTATTAAAAAAAAGCTGCCCTATATTAAATCCGAACACAGGCCTGGCGCACTACACGCGGTCCCAAATCCGAACAGCCTGGCGCACTACACGCTGCCCAAAAATCCGAATACAGGCCCACTACACATCTCAGCCCAATTTATCCAAACCTGGCCCAATAACTCTAGGCGAGAATACTGTTCATTTTGGCTTCCTACCATTGTATATATAGAGATACATTTCTTACAGAAAGTTGTGTATATGAAGAAAATTACCAAAAGTGGAATTCTGAACAACAAAAGGTTCCTATAGAGATGTGATTCCAGTAGAGGTGAGTCAATTTTTTAATTTTTCTTAAAATTCTCATTTTCCATCTATTAATTGTGCAGACAATATATCTGAGAGAAGACATATACATATAAAGCATAACCTTATATATAGTTTTGGAGATCAATTATTAAATGAACCAAATTTCATGCACCTGCCCATAATGAATGGAATGCTTAATTAAATACTCAAAATTAGAAAAGACATATATGGTATCATTGATGATTTAGTTTGAAATAGTACCATAGGATATGAATTAGTATTAAAACCCAATCTGCGTGGCAATTTAAATGAATTTAGGAGTCAACTATTAGATATTTGTAGTGCAAAGTGATAAATCTAAAGAGAATTTAACTTTGATGCCATGAAGCTGCTAAAAATGGTGTTTAAAATTAGTTGACATTCATTATGATTTAATGATAATGCCAAATTATATTCCATCATAATCAGTATATAAATCACCATTGTATTTACATTCATCTAAACTCTTAAGCAGTCATTAAAAAATAAAAGATCTAGGCGCATACACCTTTTAAATTCTTTCTAAAATTTGCACAATCACTATTCAAGATGATCGATAAATTTCATACGGAGTATATTAAAACATTAATATTCAAAAAAACACAGTAATTGAAAAACCAATCGAGCCCTTAGGATTATAGATATTATTCTTGCCCGTAAGAAAAAATCAAATCTATATTAATAAATGTGGTTTTAAGAAAAATAATATTACCGATAAGAGATCTGAGATTTTATATGGAATATAAATAAAAATATACACAAATTAATAAACAAATCTACATGAATGGTTTTCAATTGAAATAGATTAATACCAGATTTGTTTATATAACGCAAGTATTAACATAACGTACTCGGACTAATATATCTTAACTTATTCATGGTTTGGGAGAACTCAAAATACTATACCATGGCCGCACAGCATGAATCTTGGCTATTCCGTCATCAAAACCTTTTTTCCATTGATGAAGCATTATAATTATGGATAGAATTACCAAATCCAAGAACATAGAGAGAGAAGTGGTTGTACGGGAAAAATATTAGATAGGAGCTCAGAGTGATTATTAGGTTAGGGTTGTGGGCTACCTAAATGGGCCGGATATTATGGGGCTTAGTTTACCAAAACGTATGGCCTACTTGGTTTAATACGCAATAGAAACTTTGTCCTAAGTAATATACTCCCTTTGTGATGTTGCCACTTTCAATTTATTTATTTAAATAATAAATTTTAAACTCAAATTAAATAAAAATGATACTACCTCCGTCCCTAAGTATTTGTTCAGTTTTGATTTTTTTCAGTCAACTATTTTCAAAATTTAATTTGAGGTCAATATTTACCAATTTTGACCGAAAAAGGTCAAAAATGGTCAAATATTCAGGGATGAACGGAGTATTAGATATTGAAAAATAAAGTTATACTTATACGACGCATTAGTAAATATTTATGTGTATTACTTTTTTATCCTTTTTTGTCTAAAGATAATATGGAATTAACATGTTAGAATGATTACCTAAATAAATTTATTTCATACTAGAAAATGAACCGTGGAGTGGTTCAAAAAAGGCTACCAAAGAAATACTTCTGAATCCTTCAGATAGCTTTTGCTTGCAACAACGTTCAACAAATGAGTTGGATACGTTCTAGAAACCCCATCATAAGTGTAAGGATATACGCGAATAATAAATTTATAACATACATTTTTTTATAATCTTTACCAATACAATGATTTTTTTTTAATTTTTTATAACTAATCATGTAGCCTTGCTTGAACCACCGTCAACATCCCAAGCCGAAAAGTATTATTCGGATGTAGAAGAATGCACTCCAAATAAAGAAATATCTCCATCAATGTCATTCTATGATGTAACAAATGGTATTTTAAAATATTTTTTTCTTTGATCATTTAAATACTACTTCCAATATTTTTTATTGAAAGACATTTTCTTCCATAATACTTTTGTTTTTGTAGTGACATCATCAAGTGCACCTAACTCTTCCTTCAATATCTTTGGTGTAACTCATATACATTATTTTGAGTCGTTAGATAGATCTTTAAGGGTTATCATGCAATCAATGAATGCCCAAAATGCGAATAAACCTTTTGGAGGTAAGACAATTGTCTTTGGTGGTGATTTTCGTCAAATTCTTCCGGTAATTATATTTCAAAGGGTACACACCAAGACATAGTAAATGCGGCAATTAATTCCTCATATATGGGAGAATTGTGTTGTCCTACGATTGACCACAAACATGCGATTGAATCATTTAGCCGGTATGAGTAACTATGAATCTTTAGTAAAATTCTCAAATTGGATTGCAAGTATTGGCGATGGTAACGCGGAGGAAGATAATGATGGGCATTCTAAAATTCGAATCCCCGATGACATGTTAATAAAGTTCTCAGATGAAACAAGATTGATTGTTACTCGGTTAGGTATCCATTTAATTCAAGCTAAAATAATGTCTAGGAAGTATATTGGAATGGAGGTCGTAATACCAAGATTATCTTCGACCCCATCTGATACTAGAATTCCTTTCAAGTTTCAGAGAAAGCAGTTATCGATCATGGTTTCTTATGCAATGACAATTAATAAGAGTCACGGACAATCACTCACAAACGTTGGCTTATTATTAAAGAAACCTGTCTTCGTTCATGGTCAATTATACGTTGCAGTTTCTCGAGTAACAAGTCGATGTGGTTTAAAGATTGTGATTTGCGATGAAGGTGGGAAACCCTTGGACAACACTACAAATGTTGCATACAAAGAAGTTTTCCAAAATGTGTAATGTTAAATTTCTTTCTATAATATGTAATATTATTGCAAAGAGTTTGGTTAAGATTATATATGATTGTAAGCAAACACAAATGCATGAAATGTTACTAAAGGAGATTTGCATCAATATTCATTAGTTTAAATATTCTTTTAATTATAAAGGTAAAGAAATTAACAAATTTATATCTTTAGAAATTAACAACTAATTTTAATTGCATTAACATAAAACATTTTTAATATGTTTCTCGCCGTGCATCGCACGGGTATGAGACTAGTATAATGTTAAGGCCTAAGAGTGATTTGTGAACAGTGTTCCCGCCCAAAATATTGGGCTGGTCACTGCCAAATGGGCCTGTGAGATGGAGAGGCTAGAAAATGAGACCTATGATGCCCATTTGGGTAGCAGTGGTCAGAAATTACATTAAAACTCCAAATTACTTATTGAGCCACGTGCCATAAAAAGTAGAAGTCTGAATCAACATCTTTATTTCTTCTTTTTATGCGCTACAGTAACAGAGAATTTGTGGACCACATCTTTATCTTTTAGAAATAAAAGATAATGGCCTCTAATCTTCTCCATCGCACGCTAAGCTTACATCATAAGTCTGCTAAGCTTACATAGTACTATTCGATTTGAACCCGACCCATTGTCATCCTACTTGCAGGCTTGCAGCCAATTATCAAACACCCTTTTTGACTAATCAAATCTGCTAAAATTGGTCAAAACAACAAAAACTATCCTAAGTGCCAAAAACCAAACATGCCCACTATATTTTCAAACAAATTTATTTATAAATATAATTAACCATTAACAAAGACAACAACATAAAGTTATACAGAGAATTATATTACTCCGTAAATAATTGACACACATAAAATAAAATAAGTGAATTTTATTAGCACAAGATTCTCTCCCTGAAATACGTGGGCTTATAATGAAACTGGCACAATGCAACCCCGGGGCAATCGAACTTCACATATCATGAAAGTTAAGTTTAAATATCAGCACAAGCCAAACAAAACACTGAGATAATTAAACAAGCTAATAAGGATACCGAAAGTCACACCAGTGACACCACTTCAGTTTATTAGGTTCCAATAATACATGAAAACTGAAGAGGATATCACACTCAATAAATCTACTTACTTGCACTGAATGACATAAACAGCAGCAGCAGCAGAATCAAATTGACCCGTTTTTCCTCTGGTATGGATCTCGTTACGTTCCCTTCACCCAGTCCAGGGTTGAAGCCCCTTCAGTTGATCTGGAGGGAATGAAGATCAGGATGGACCCTATTCACATGGAATTTTTCACCCCTAAGGATCAAATTGACAAAGTGAAGGCCTCCCGCACACCCCTTTCGCTCGTTGACCTCTTAGGCTGCCATCCCTCTGACCTGCTCTAGAAATGTACTGCTGACTGGGAGGACAAAAAATTGTGTTTTGTTGGCGATGACAACGGGAATGACCAGCACGTTCTTCGGCCTTGCAGCCATACTACTACTGGGCGGGATGACAATGACAATGCCAAGGTGGCAGTATCTGTATCGGAATTGAGTTGTGAGAGGTTGGTGGGAGTGTACCTCTGTATTGATGGTTCGTTCATGGCCGAACTTTTCAAGTTTGAATTCATTTCATTATACATACATTGATGTGTATACACTGATGTTCTTCGTCCTCATTGGCAGTTGCTTTGCTGGAACTCTGCCACCACATCATTCATGTTGCTCTCCGCCGTGGTGAACTTCATCTCGTCCATCCCTTCCCCAGTGTACCAGTAGTAAATTTGATCTCGTCCATGATTCATGTTGCTCTGCGGAGGGGGGGGTGGGATGTTGCACTTGCTCGACTACGCGTAACTTAAGGACGGAAAGAGTTTTTTTAGACAAGTTTTTAAAAAATTCACAAAATTGAAGATGCGGACTACAATTTTTTGATGATATCCGCTCAATAACCTACCTCTTTACAAAAAATTCACAAAACTCTAGTACTATGTTTGGTTCAAGGAATTTGAAAGAAAAAGAAAAGAAAACGATTTCTCTCATTTTCCTCACCAAAATAAGAGGAATTTGGTTTTCCCTCTTCTTAGTACATTTTCCCTTATCATTTTCTTTTTCCTTTCACTTTTCTTTTCTTTTCCTCTCTAGCCAAACATGAAAAAGTATTTCTCCTCTCATTTTCTTTTTTTTTTCTATTTCAAATTCCTTGAACCAAACATAGTGTAGATGTCTTGATGATACCCTCTCAATAATTTACCTCATTATAAAAGCAAGTGGAAAAATTCTCCACTTATAATCTGGGGGGCCTAATCAGGACACTTGGACCGGATATTTTTGGGGAATTATTTTTGGGCCAGTTCGAGTCAAGTAAAGAATAGGATAATGTTGTTTTAAAGCTTCTCAACTGCCATGAAAATTAAAATTAATTCTAAAAATGCGAGTTGACTTTATTACTAATAATAATAATAATTATAATAATCATTGCATAAAAAATTAAATTCCTTATTCTAGCATGAGATGGAAAAAAATAATAAAATAATGATAATGATAATTAAAATAATAATACTCCCTCTATCCTAAAACTTTCTTCCCACTTCCTCTTTTTTTCCGTCCTAAAACTACCACCTTCTCATTAGAAAAAAAGATGACAAATGACATAATACTCTCATGTATTTACACCAATTATCTTCTAACTCTATATTTTGAATGATTGCAAAAAAAAAATTTCAAAAAATCTTTTTTAAGGAGGGTAAAATTTGAAGTCAAAGCCAAAAATTAAAAATGGGAAAAAGTCAAATTGGGAAGAAAGAATTAGGACGGAGGGAGTAATAATCATGGATCAGACCGTTATATCAAGGCCAAATCCAAAACTTAAATGGGTTAGATGGGAAGATCAAATTCCTAGCCCAACCTGTAAATACCAACTCCAATTGTCTAAGCCCATCTTTGAAACCCACTCGTCGTGAGGTTTACGTTTATCAATAGCAATCCCACGAGCCTGATACCTGAATCCCTCCTCCGTGAGTCCGTGTGCTCGCAATCCCACCTCCATCAATCCCTACGAGCTTGTCAATCTCGCGTCGCTCATTCCCCAACTGCCATCACAGCCAGGTACTGTTTTCACTTATGTAATTATTGTTGTTGTTGTTCTTGTAACAAATCTGCGGCCATATCGAGGTTGTGGATCGGATGTTAGCAAAACTCTGGTTGTTGTTGTTGTTGGAAACAATCTTCCGGAGGTTAGGGATCATATGCAAGAAAATCGTCCACCTTTAGCGAGTTTCGCCAGTATTATTTATAGTCGTAATATGTTACAGCTTAATCTTTCACTTTGATTTCAGTATTGTGTTATTATTGCTTGGCCTAGCAATTCAATATTTGTATTTCATTTGTTTGTGCTAAAATTCAGCCTGATGTTCCACTTTGATGACATATGATTGCATCAACATTGTGTGCCTTGCTCTTTTTAATTTGATCCTGCTAATACAATAATGTTTTTGCATCACAGTGATGTATTATTGCATCATGTGTGCTGCTCAGGGTTCATAGTTTTATTTTTATTTTGGATCATGTAATTTGCTTTGCATGTGTTTGGCTGATTGTTGAAGTGCTATGGCTGGCAGGGTTCTCAATGTCTAGGAGATTTTTGGTTGAGTTTACCCTCACGATACCCAAGGCAGAATGCGATGGGGTTGAGCCAAGCAGATGGCTCCTTGATTCTGCTGACATGAGTGTACCAAAGGTCCACGGGCTTTTCAAAGGACACAACACCCCTTCAGCTACCTTTCGGAATTATCGAGCTAAACAACTGACCTCTCTTGAAAGGCATCGGGTATGGCCTTGCCCAATTATTTTTCTTTATCCCTTAACATTGTAGGCTTTAGTGGCTTTACATATTTGTTTTGTGTGTGTAATCTTTTAGTTAAGCAAACTGAGAGAGGATGTCAGTCAAGTTTGGAAACACTTGTATGTTGGTGATGAGGAGACAACAACCTTGACCAAGAGCCAAAAGCAGAGAAGAAAAAACCAATGGTTTAACATGATGAAGCATCAACTTGTCAACAACGAAAGGTTCTTCCCATGGAAGCCGGACAGATATCTGCACTTGGGTGCACAAATCTACCGACTTTTCAAATGCGAGGACATGTTGAAAGTGCTTGGTAGGTTTTTAAATTAGTATTGAAGTTACGATGTTGAAATCATTAGTGTTTCTCTCTTACAGCTTTGAAATTTGTCTTGTGCAGCTGTGAAAGCTGGTTCGGAGACTGATCGAGTCGAGAAGAAAGATGGGAGCATAGTTAGAGTTGGGATTCCTTCTTTGCGGATGAGATTGATACTTGTAGAGTATTTTGAAGAAACCACCGGCATTACTGGGATCAAGCCCATCATCAAGTGTTGCAAGAGTGTGCAGGGAAAGGTGTGGCTTCTTTGTGAAGTGATTTTAAGATTAGAAATTACTCAACACTTGCCTGCAACTCCGGAGTTAGGAAAGCATATCTTCATCCAAAGTGGTGGGAACTCAAAACCATTGAGAGGGATAGGCTATGTAGCTAGTGAGGAGCATGTCTTTTTTGAGCCGGTGTTGATTGAGGAGGATGAAGAAGATGTGAGCCCCAAAGAGAAGGGCAGTGATACAGATGAGGAGGAGATGCTAGAGTTCATTGAGGAGGATGAAGAAGATGTGAACCCAAGGAGAAGGGCAGATGAGGGATCCCAATGAACTCTAGCTCCTCCTCATTTGTATCATTGCTCTTCTCCTTGGGGCTCACATCTTCTTCATCCTCCTCCTCAATCAACACTAGCTTAAAAAAACATGCTCCCCACTAGCTATATAGTCTTTCTCTCTACATGAATTTGAGTTCCCACTACTTTAGATGAATATATCCTTTCTCAACTCCGGATTTGCAGGCAAGTTTCTAGTCTTAAAATCACTTCACGAAGAAGCCAGACCTTTCCCTGCACACTCTTGCAACACTTGATGATAGACTTGATGCTAGTGATCCCGGTGGTTTCTTCAAAAAAAACTCTGAAAGTATCAATCTCACCCTCAAATCAGGGATCCCAATTCTAACTGTGTTCCCATGTTTCTTCTCCACTCGATCAGTCTCCAAACAAGCTTTCACAGTTGCAAATGACAAATTTCAGAGCTGTAAGTGAAACACTAATAATTTTAACATCTTACCTTCAATACTAATTTAAAAAATCTACCAAGCACTTTCAGCTTTTAAGCCGACAAGCCACTGAGCTTGTCAATCTCGCGTCTCTCATTCCCCAATTGGCACCATAGCCATCACAGACAGGTGCTTTTTTCACTTATGTAATTGTTGTTGTTCTTGTAACAAATCTGTGGCCTTATGTTCCACTTTGATTATATATATATATACACACACACACACACACACACACACATATCTTTCTATATTATATAAATGGGAGAGAGGGTTAGGTACCCCTTATATTTATGCACTTTTTCCGTTAAAGAAATATGTACTCTGCGCAGATAGAATCGTACATTCGATTTGTTTTCTATTTTGTGCCCCTACTGCGTTAACCGGCGTTATTGCATACGGTAATTAAGAGTGCATCAATATCTTCTCCGTTCCAAATTTTTGTGTGTGTAACCGGTTAGGGATCCAAAAAGTTTCAATACGGTACTTTGAGCGTCCATATAAATCAATCGGCAGCAGGTCAATGAGTATGCTGTCTTGATATGCGGTGGGAGGTTCGTTCTACCTTTATTTCAGAAGGTTTGATTCATATCCGATTCTTTTGGTTATTTTTGCAATTGACACTTTCACATAGTTGAATTCACATTAATATTCCTTAGAAATGTGAATAAATTTCAAATTTGATCTCCACAATCTGTTTCCAAATTTCGAAATTATTTAAGTCTATTATTATTATTATTTATTATTAAGAATTTCATGGTTCATACTGCATCATTTTCCCTCTACTTCATTTTCCAAATTCTTTCCTGTAGTAAGTTCTTATTTGAGTCGATTCATATCATTTTCCTCCACATATTGAACCATTTTATCATTTTAAACCAGTTTTTAGTTTAATTTATATTATGTCTACATATGTATTTCTTATGAATTTTATTATTTTATTTGTTTCACTTTGGCTTGGACATATTGCTGAGAAAGGTTCAAACTTATCCATACTAATTTTTAATTAGCAGAGTATTCAGTTATCAACGGTTGAAATAATGACCATATAACTACTGTGGACAAATATCAAAATTAATTGAAACAAAAAAAATAATCCTTTTTTTTTTTGAAAAAAAGACACTTATGAGCTATGATATGCGAAGTGAAATATACATGTTGTTTTAACCAAAAAGGTTTCAACTCCTAACGATTTGCAGAGGTGTTTAAAGGCTCCATGGCTCCTGATATCTTGGAGATTCTTGTTTTCCACATCCTGTGCAAACTCAATGTTGATATGCCTGCATTTCGACATCTTATTTTAGACAAAAAAAAGTTTAATAAGTAAACCTCTAGATCTCTATTATAATAAACCTACTTTTTTATCTTTTACAGAAAAAATACAAATTTATTTATTTTAATGTTTGGATGATAGGCATTTTCACAACATATAGCCCCTTCAAAAATAGAAACCTGCATGATAGGTTTTTACAAGTCTGAATTCATTAGGAATTTCACTATGCATTTAAGGTTGAGCGGTCAGGATGTTGAAAGAGGTATTTTCATTCACACATTCTGTTTTCCATGATCATCAAGTGAGAAGTATTGTCCTTTGGGTCATGATGACCCAAAATGAAGAGATGTTTACTGTGAGCAACTTGCAAGTGCTTCCTTGTTTTTTAATTTAGCATACAGATGAATATTGCACTGAACTTGTAGATGCTCTTTGGGAAGAGAAGGATTTTGTTATTTTGTTATGTGTTAATGTTTGATCTGTGCAAATCTAGATGTTGGAAAGCTCTGTTGGAAATGGTTAAGCTCTTCAAAAGGCATAAAGTTCTGGTTTCGAGTAAGTTTTTTTTTTTAATCTTTGAGAGCATATAAAGATAATACTGAAGGTGAAGAGGACATTGATAAAAAAAATACTTTGGGCATTCAAGAATTCGTGCCCAAAAAAGAAACACCAAGAAACTAGGGACTTTACTCTACTAGGATCTAAGGGTATTAACAAAACAAAGTCCAACAAGAAATGAAAGTTTTTTGGGTTCCTCTTATGCTTTGTTTTTTGGAAGATGGTTTTTGATTCAATGTTGAGGGTCAGTGTTGAAACCCTTGTCCCTACTTTTTACTCTGTGGGTTTTGTGTGCCTTCGATCTGTATGTTTGTGTCGAGGTTAGTTGTGTGATCTGTTTAGCGTTGAGAGGTGTGGATATTTTAGTTAGGTTGTCTGGTCTGGTGCCGCGGTTTGGAGGCAAGAATTATTGTTTGATGTAGGATATTTCAGGATTCTAGGTTCAGTTAGTCTTTGGAAGGGGAGGTTTTTCGTTGTTTTTTAGCCATGTAGGATTTAGTTTTGCTTCAGACTTTCAGGCAGTGACTGCAACAATTGCTGATTAAAAAAACTTGAAGTATATGAAGATATTTATAGTTGTGATGAACCATGGTGATTTGGTGACAAAGGATGGTTAAAAAACTTAACCTTGGTTATCCTAACATGCTAATTAAGAGTAATTAGTGCTAATCACGATATCAATCAAGGCTAGAAATGGATAACATGGCTAGGAGATGATTATCACATGAAATAATAGTTTTTAGAGTATAAAAATTATTCTTTCTTTTTGCGATTGATTTTGAGTTTAAAAATGAAACTTTTGAATGCCAAACTTCTTCTATACATCTAGGATAACTTGTCTAAAAGTAGAATACTCCAAAAATTCGGACCAACTACCAAGAAACATTGACAAAGTGGAAAATGGGATTATTGCATGTTTTTGTGATCAAGAATTTAATATCCAAAGGTGATTGAAAACGGATTGAATGATTCAATTTTAAATTGTCTGGTGACATGCATTGAATATAGTCTGATCTAAAATTATAATATAGTTTAAATGGGTTGTATAGAAGTATAATATACACTATCAAAATTAGGCACTAAATTACTTTTGGGTCTCCAAGTAAAACCCCTCCAAAACTAATAAAACAACACCAATGGATAATTTTAGTAGAGTCTAAACCTCAGGCCAAATTTTAGCAGTGTCTTTGTTTTATATCTTCGTTAGCTAACGTTGATGAAAAATTTTCACCCTATCTACGGAGGCAACAAACTATAAAGTGCCAACAAGGGTTCGACACTCATTAAGTTTTATTTCCAGTGTCGTTGATTTTAGAGGCACTAATAGAGTGTAAAGAAAAGAGGAAAACCCTTCCAGCAAAAGGAACAAGTTTACACTGGAAAAATTGAATCTGTTAGGTGGGAATCTGTTTCCTAAACCGATTGATGTTACTTCTAATAGGTAGAAATTTATTTCTGAAATCATGTTTTTCCCGTTTGGGAAAAGTAAAGGTGGAAAATTGTTATAATTACTGTTAGGTAGAAATTCAATTCCTAATCCTTTTAAGGGTTCCTTGTGGTTTTACACCTTAGATACACTATTTTATGATTCTAAATTTTTACTTCCAACCCATAAAATGCTCCTTTTATTTCGAAAAGTTTAATCACCTAATCCGCCTGTGTGGACAAACATATTCATTCATATATGTAGTAATAACTTAAAGATGTGATATACTGTCGCCGATTCAGGTTTATCCTAGAAAGAGACAAGTGGAAATCAACAATTGCCATGACAGAGCTTAGTGGAGCACCTGCAGTGGACTCGTGAGGAACTCGAAGCTGTAATTTTCTCGGCTTCCTAAATACCAAGCATGGTATCTCCTAGGTATTCCCCTGCCATTACTTCAAACTCAGAATGGGCCAAATGATAAGAAATGCATAATTAGAAAAAATATTTCTCTACTATCAATGTCAACATCATTTGTACTAGCAAGTTCAGGAACTTTGTCATGTTCTTCAAATTATGTTTTTGTATGCATGTGATTAAGAAAAATTGGTGCCATATTTAACGATAGAACCTTGGTAATTGATGTACATTTACCATATTCCATCCTTTCAACGTACAAGCTAAGGAAGCTGTTACCACAGCCTTGGCATATGCATATGAAACTAGCCCAAATCAAGTATTATATGATGAAGTCACACTTGCTGGTATGACCAGGCCAATGTAATTAGGGACCAATTACCCAATTAAGTAGTAACAGTGAGTGGCTGCTCAAATTAGGGTAGTCTTCTAGAGACGAGGAATTTCACTTTGAACTCTTACTATTGCTTGATTTTATTCTGAACTATACAGAAACCCATTTCATTTGGATTGCAAATGAAATCTTCAAAATAGCAAAAACATGGTAGTTTCTCATGTTAAGTGTAGTAGTTTGAAAGATCCTTCGACACTCCAGGATGTAACTTTGCAAGTATATTTGTTTGTATGTGTTAGTGTATATGTTCCCACACGTATTGAAGCAAAAAACACTATACTTTGTATATTAAGTTATACTCCGTAGAAAGTTTTCACCTTTAGTTTACCCATTATTGTTATTGATAATGTAGCACTTCAATGCTACTAGTGGCAACTTTTATGAATTGGAAATACTCCATATATCATATCATCAATGGTATTTTCTTTATTGTAAACTCAGTTTAATTTATTTAATCTTTTGTAGCTTATTGTTATCAAGTTCGTTATTGATTGATGGAATGAATAGACTACACTATGTATGAGTTCAACCACAATATAACATATAAAAA